CCTTTAGACTCAACATTCAAAATTAACTGAAATACAAAAAGATGTGGCAACACTCTAGTGAATTGTAATGTAAGGGGGCAACACTCTAACGGCAAACGGCCGTTTAAATTTTCTAATAGCATATTAAATGTAATGTTATATTTAAAATTATTCTATTTAAATATTAATATTTATTTTTAAGTCCTGTATCCATAAAAAATGTGGTAAAAACAGCAAAAGAAAGTTGTGAAAACTGGAAGGATCTAGCCTAGAACAAGTTTGTCAACCTTACGGACTATGCAGGATAATTTTTTTTTTTTTCTAGATTTTTCTATTTGTATGCTCGGGTTTGGCTTAAATCCATAAAGATCGATTTATAGCAAGTTTCTTATGGGTGAAATTAGAGGAGTTAGCGAAAAAAATAGAATACAAAATCTAACTTTTAAGATCATTTACGAACTACGAACCACAGGATTGCTTATATCAAAGTACATACCCATTGTTTATATGGTCAATAGTTTCGCGGCACGTTTTCTACACAATTTGGTTTTAACGAATTCGCCATATGTTTGTCTGACTGCTGTTTATCATTGACCTACATAAATTTCTGGATTGCGATGCTTTATTATTTTGGAGCATATGCTACTCTCTAAGTTCAAAGAACCCAAGCAAAATAAATTAATTGGCGCCAAGCGATGCAAAAGACACACGAATCGTTGACGACTTATTGAAGAGCGCGACTCAAAACATTTCAAGTGACGAGCTAGTCAATTAAGATGGGTTCTCAGTCGCGACGCAGTCTGAAAAATAATTATAACGTTACGTCAATTATGGAAGCGCTTCACCCAATTTCGACAGTTTCCATTGAGCTGTGGCTGCGACTAGAACTGCGAATAGCAAGCCTGAAGAAAATGTGCCGAATTCTGTTGATGTTTATCCTGTGCCAGGCGTGCCTTCAGGTTGTCAGCGGTGGCTGCAATCGCATACCACAGGGCGCCACTGGAGAACGTTCGGCAGTCGATGATAATTTTAAAATACTAATCGATGGCAATCCAACGACCTATATACCCGATCATCAGTACAATGGTGAACTGAGAGCACAGAACTAGCCAGAACTATGCAATTTTCAACTATATACATTTTCCTAGTATCCCTCTCCTGTCCGATCAGCATGAAGTTCATCAGCTTTACTCTGGTCGTGGAAAGCGAAGATCACGCGGGAGCCTACAATGCTCAAGAGATGACTGGACATTTTGAGCTGTTTAGCAATGCCGAGACAAGATTTAGCACTGGCTGCGAGAACATGATCGAGAGCACTAATACGAATGCCAAGACACGCATTGATGTCTCCTGGATGGCGCCCAAGTTGCCGGACAGCGGCTGTGTGCTGATAAAGGCGGGCGTGGTGCAGCATCGAGACGTGTGGTTCATCGACGATGGTTTCCTGACCAAACGCATCTGCCCGGAGGAGATCGATGAGCTGAATAGCTTAACGCCAGCGCTGCAAAATTGCTGTGCCTGCGATGAGGCAAAGTATGAGGTGCGTATCCATTTGGCTACACGATCTAGAATTTAAGAATTAATGTATAGTTTAAGGAACCCGAAGCTATTTCGATCTAGTCCGTCTACCTGTCTAACTTAGAGACACGTATGCCAAAGAACAAGCTTGCACTACGTTCGATAGCTCTCCACATATTACCAAAATCGATAAATATCGATTTGAAGCTTAATTCTCGTACTCACATATATATACTAGCGCGTATACCCTGCGTATACTCTAATTAATCTTCGGGAAATTTTGACTTATTTTTAGTCTATACAGGATATTTGAGGGTACCATTTTCATATGAATATTGACTAGAAATAATAATCCCAGATTTAGATGCAAATTGATCTAAAGGCCAAACCATAAAGAAAGAGACAAATCTTATGAAAATCGGTTGAGTTTTGACAGTGTTATGGTTGTGGGAAATTTCGATATAAGATATTTTGTTATATAAAGAGATATATATAATTTTTCCGATACAGATAATTCTGGAGCGCAAGTGGGCTAGGAATACGCATGCCAAGGACTTTCCGGTGGAGGCTTGGCGCACACGTTTGGGCGAAATAATTGGCGCCTCGCATAGCTACAGCTATCGCTACTGGGCGTATGGTGGACGTGCCAGCCAGGGCATGCGGGAGCTGGCCGAGCATGGAGCCACGCGTACTCTGGAGCAGGAGATAAGAGATAATACACAGGTGGGGCAGATCACTAACTAAAGTCCTTTTTCCTGCTTAATGTCAGGTTTTTTATCTTCTAGAATGGCGAGGTTCGTACCATAATCAAGGCACCAGGCATAGGACATCGTCAGAATCTCTTTGGCACCACATTGGCCAATGCGCGTGTGGATTCGCAACATCATCAAATATCCTTGGCCGCCAAAATAGATCCCTCTCCGGATTGGATAGTGGGCGTGGCGGGCTTGGAATTATGCTTGAGCAACTGCACTTGGCTGGAACGTAAGGTTTTGAATTTATATCCTTGGGACATAGGCACAGACTCAGGTCCTTCATACATGGTGAGCGCGTGACTTTCTTTCAAGTTTAAATCAAGCTTAACCCATTTCTATAAACAGTCAGCCGATCAGCCGCAGGTGCCGCCGGATGTCATACGTCGCATTAGCTCCTCATATCCCAGCGATCATCGTTCGCCTTTCTTTGATGATTCGGGAGCACCAATGAAGCCCCTAGCCACACTCTACGTGACCAGGAAAAAGTTATACATACGCGAGTGTGAGGAGGGTATGGCTCTAGATTATCTGACCAAAACCTTTAACCCACTTAAGTTCTATCTTGTAGTGCCACAAGAAGGTCCGCTAGAGTGTGCGACTCACCCTTGGAACGATTGGAGCAACTGCAGCACGCGCTGCGGTCCTGGCTACTCGCAACGCTTTCGCAGCTATAAGAATCCAGCGCTTGCGGCCAGCTACAGCTGCGATCGTCGCTTGGAGGAAATGCGACAGTGTCAGGGCATGCAATGCGGCACAGAGGATGAGCTGGCCATTGGCGAGCCAGGTATTGATAATCCCAATGGTCCGGATACCATAGCCGAGTGTGAGCTGACCATGTGGAGCGATTGGTCACCTTGCTCAAAGACCTGTGGACGTGGTACTTCCACGCGGACACGTGACTATTACAATCCCCTCGCCAGGTCACGTTGTCAGACAGTGATGCGATTGCCGCTGGAGGAGACAAGGCAATGCAGCGGCGCAGATTGTGGCGGCACTATAGCCGACAATGGCGAACTGGATGGCTTTCCAGAGCCTGACATGTTTGGAGAAACCAACGAAGGTGGATTTGAAAATAGCAGGCCCGGGTGGGGCTTAAATACCTACAACCCAAGGCCGGACATGGATTATGCTGGAGCGGACAGAAACAATGCAGGCTGGAGGGCCAATAATTTAGCTACGCCCATGCCAGCGGAGAATCCGCGTGGCTATGAGAGCAACCGACGACAGCCGTACGAGCTGGAGCGACCCACATCCAATAGCTACCACAATGAGCAGCTGCAGGGCAACAGAGGCAAGAGCTACAATGATTACAGAGGTGATAGCTACAAGAATTACGATCCAGTCTCTAGCAATAACAACGACTACACCAACACCCTTCAGAGACCCGGCTTTAGCACACGGGCACCATCCGTACGTTACTCGGACCGGCAGCAGAATCCGGGCAACAAGTACAATGTGGTGCAGGACTACTGCTTCGAGAAACCATTCGCCTCCACACAACCTTGTCTGGCCAATCCGGTTATCGTGCGCAACTATTGGTTCTACGATCATGATGATCACGAATGCAAAATCTTTACCACGGACAATTGCGACGAGAACAACAATCGCTTTCGTACCCTGATGGCATGCGAGGGCACATGTCTTCTGCCACAAATCAATTTGGCTCGCACAGAGGATAACGATGTGAATCCCTATGCAGGTGGACCAATGCAGCCTATCAATCCCTATGGATCTAGAGCAATGCAGGTCAGCAACTCCTATAGAGCTGGACCAATACAGTCCAGCAACTCCTATGGAGCTGGATCGATGCAGCCGAGCAATCCCTATGAAGCTGGCGCGATGCAGCCCATCAATTCCTATGGCGTTGGAGCAATGCAGACGAGTGAAAGTTTCGGTGAAGGATTTGGGGAGCCCATGTCACAGACAAGAAACCAATATAATAATGCCAGGCGTGGACGTTATGGCAGCTAATCATTTAATAAAGTTAAAGCATAAACTTATTGCAAGGAGATTTTCTTATGAGAATATCGTAAAGAACCAAATCCATACAAATGGTCTTTTGATTGTTCATAAGATATTGTTCAAATTTAGGGATCATGCTGAATTTCGTAATTTGTAGGTAAGCCAATCGAAAACCAAAAAGGCAGATCAACGCAAAAGATACAATCTATAGATAATATACATATATTGCATATGTAAAGGATATAAATATCTGCTTAGATATAGGTCGAAGATATAGGAACTGGAATATAAGGTACTCGCTAGAGCCAGAGCTGCATATTTATCTATGTTTATAATGGAATATTTTCTCTGTTGTGTGTCGTAATTCCTGATTATCAATTATTCAAGTCCACAACTTGCAATTCGGAAATACCTTCGAGCTGCAGCTGTACAATAATTCTCCTAAGAACAATAGTGATAAACTCTTTTCTCGCTCTGCCGTTTAAGAGCACAATCTTAAGCTCTGCTCTTGCATACTCTTTATTTTCAATATGATTTTACACTCTATAAAGTTTGTTTTTCCGGCTTTTTGATTGAGTTTGTGGGCTGAGTCTGCTGATAAGCGATTTTGTATGTGTATCACTGGGTCAGAAAAATAAAGTTCTCTTGCCGGGCCGGGCACAGCGGTAGCTAAGCTTATCAGTCTCCCAATTGGCTTTTTGCGAACCCACAACCGAAATCGACGCTCAGTTTCAAACAGCAGCTCAAGACGACGAGCACGGCAGTTAGACCCTACGATAAAGCTAGTCTTAGTTTCAACTCGAGAGTTTTTCACAATGTGGCATTTGTTAACGCTGTACGTGATGTTGCCCGGCTGCGCCTGGGCATTGATCTGCACACGTCATCCGGCCAATACGCACACGCCCAAATCGCCCGTGGATGAGAACTATGTGATAAGCATAACTGGCAACCCGGAAACGTATATACTCGGACAGGAGTACAACGGTGAGCGCGTGAGTTCATTGGCCTTGCGCTTGAACTTCAAAGTTCTGTTTCCGATTGCTCTCAGTCTTTATGGCACGACTCAACAAGGTTTCAACTAGAAAAAAGTGGGATACGGAGAGACCGACTAGGTGATACCCTATACATAGCTTCGAATAACCGTCACATACATTCGAACATTTAAAAAAACATTCTGAAATAAGTAATATCTTTATAGTCCGATAGTTGGTACCGAATTATTCTTAATATTTGCATAATATATCGCCAGCCTTAACAGAAACTATATTGAAAGCGTTATTTATTGGCATTATAAAAAACAAAAATGAATACAATACTTATGGCATACATCAACACCGAAATTTTTACTAGCTCTAAAACTATACGATCTATGGGGCTGGAAATCGATTTGTATATAAATATAATATTAATATGCAAACTCCTTATCATATTTATAATCTCGAAAATCATCAGACAAACGAACACGTCTAAACCGACTCAGCTGACCGCCCTGATATCGAATATATGTATCTACTTTTTCGGACTGTAAATGTCACATTCTGCCTGTTGCATAGACTTCCACGAATTTGCCATCAGTAAAGGGTATTAAAACAAAAACAAACATTTCGCAATGCTCGTTTTTTCTTTTCTCATTTTTTTTTTTGTTTTGTAAACAAATCGCGGCGTACGCTTTCTTATCAGAACATTGCAAATTTGAGAGGTCTCACGTTTTCAAGGTCGGTTGCCGATAAGCCGCTTCTATACCAAATTCGATTAGTTACTTCATGAGTATCTTCCGACAGTTTCGCTCAATGCATTCAATGGACATCGCTATATAAGCTACATTCTGGCACTGGAAAACGAAAATGGTGATTTTAGCTATATGAACGATTTGGGTCGCTTTGAGCTAAACGACATGATTGAGACGCGTTTCAGGCCCAACTGCATCAACTTGGTGGAGAACACAAACACCAATCCCAAGACACACATGCATTTGACCTGGGTAGCGCCCAGTGAGCCCGGCAACGGCTGCATATTGATTCGTGCCACAGTGCTGCAACATCGCGACGTCTGGCACATGGACGATGGTGGACTAACGCGACGCATATGCGAGGAGGTAGTGGATGATGTGGAAAGTCAACCCACGACCAGTTCGTTGAACAGTCCTTGCTGTGCCTGTGATGAGGCGCGATATGAGGTGAGTTCAAGAACTTTTTGAGAAATCCTTAAAATAAACATCTAAGATCCCAAGATAACTAAGAACTTGTCAAATGGAACACCCCTGTGTTACATTTGTGAGCTATCAGTCAGTCCGTCAGGTCAAACACTTAACTGTATAGAGACAGGCTATTCTTCAGCACGAATGCATTATTTTAATTCATAACTTGGCGCGTAACTTACCAAATCAAGTACATCCATTATAGCTAACATTCGAGGGCGTCTGGTCGCGTAATTTGCATCCAAAAGACTTTCCAGCGCGCGGCTGGGAGACGCGCTTCTGTGAGCTGGTGGGCGCCGCACATAGTTCCGACTATCGCTTCTGGGAGTCAGGTGCGTTGGCCAGCGAAGGAGTCAAGCAATATGCAGAGCACTGCACTTCCAGATTGCTCGAGCGCGAATTCAGCAGTAACTTTCGGGTGAGTCTGACTAGCCTTAGAAGTTGTGGGAAATATTAATAAAGTCATATTGCAGGAACAAAAAATACGCACCATAATCAAGGCACGTGGGCCCGCCTTTCCGAACTTGAACAGCAAAACGACAGCATCGGTGCGTGTGGATCCAGTGCATCACATGGTGTCATTTGCCTCCAAAATTGAGCCCTCTCCAGACTGGATTGTGGGCGTTAGCGGGCTGGAGTTGTGTCTGCGCAATTGCACGTGGCTGGAGACGAAGGTGATCAACTTGTATCCCTGGGATGTGGGCACCGATGCGGGACCCAGTTATACGGTATGTAAATGAGTGCGTTTATAACAAAGACTAATACGTCTCGTGGTTGTTCTAGTCCCCCGATCAACCACAGGTGCCGCCAGATGTCATCAGACGCATACGCTCTGACTTTCCCAATGATCCGCGATCACCCTTCTACGATGATTCGGGTGCTCCCATGAAACCCATGGCCGTGTTAACGGTGCGACGTCAACGCATCTACGAGAGGCGCTGTGCGGATGAAGAATGTGAGTAGCTTTATGTATTAAGGCTGTATGCAAATAAATATATTAATTAACACTTACCCAAGCCAACAACGATGCGGATGTGCCACGTGAGTGTTTGACGCATCCGTGGTCCGGCTGGAGCGATTGCTCCACCAAATGCGGCGAGGGCATGCAGTATAGAAGACGTGTATACAAACAGCCAGAGCTGGCCAGGATTAACAATTGCAATGTGCCACAATACGAGGAACACGCTTGCGAGGGACAAGTCTGCGGACTGAGCGAGCCCATGCGCAATGTCGCCGACTACGACGATCTTAACATGGGCCTGCAGCCCAATCATTATAAACGACGCGCTGAATGCCAGTTGACTGCTTGGAGCTCCTGGAGCACGTGCAGCGTCACCTGTGGCGAGGGCTATCAGGTGCGCCAGCGGCAATATATTAATCCCAGCGCCGAGCTCAAATGCCAGAGCGTACATAGGCTGGAGTTGCAGGAGATGCGTAAATGTGCGGGCAGAGCTTGCATGGGCAATTTGCCCGGTGGTGACATAGAAGCCCCATACGAGGAACGGGAACGCAACCAAGCAGAGCCAGAGCTCGAGCTGGAAAACTATGACAGAGGCAACAACAATAACAACAACTTTAATAGAGATTACGACGAGGAACGAACTGATGATGATCGCAAAGCAAGCGGCTTTGAGGTGGGCAATTTGAAGGGCAGCAAAGCACAGTGGGGCCAAGATGCTCAGCGGCCGCCAAATCGTAATATGCCACAGCTAACAATGTTGCATCGGCCGGGTAACAACCAGGCGAATTATGTGCAAACCCCAAGGCTGGAGGATGTGGAACGTGCGCCATGGCAACGCGGACGACCCAGTGGCATCTACAGAGAGGATGAGCAGCTGAGCTACGCTGGACAACGACAACATGATGGCAACAGATTCATGACCCAAACGCATCCAATTGCCGAGCAGGACGCAGAGCAGCAGCGCATGCCTTGGATCAGGCCAAACAACATGATAAACAACCAAGGAAGAAACTTGGATCAAACCAATGTTGATGCAGAAGAAGATGTGGATACATACATGTCCATGCGTTGCTTCCAAATGCTGCGCACCAATCAGCCGCGCTGCAAAAACCAAACGATTGTGGGTCACTTTTGGTTCTACAATTTCTGTGTCGATGAGTGTATGTTATTTGCGGCCGATCCGTGCGATCGCAACGTAAACAAGTTTAACAAGTGGGAGGAGTGTGAGGAGTGCCGTCGGCCCGAGTTCCAGCAGATACAAGAGCAACGGTCCATCTCACAGGAATGCCAACTTATTTTAGCCTCGCAGCGGGCGCAGCAAAGGTATCGGGATGTGGAGCACAGTGTTTTCTCCAGCAGAAGGCAACATAACGGCAATCGGCAGTGGGGTCGATGAGTGAGAAATTATTTTTGTTTTTGCGTATTTTAAATTAGATTTATAGGAATTTCAACTCTCAAAAAACAAAATACAAATGTGGTTGTATGTATGTATGTATGCATGCACTACCGTTAAAGTTGAAAATGATTGCAAGTTATCGCACAAAGCTCGATAACAATAAATTATACTCGATAAGTACTCAAGTACAAAAGCACTACAAGTAACATTTAAAAGTCTTCAATTTAACTTTATAATTTTATTATTACTATTACTTCTAAATTCCAAAAGACATTTGTGTTAGGTAAATAAAATTAATAAAAAGAATACATTCAGTAAACTATTTCAGCTAAAATCCGATAAATTTTAGCTTTGCCATATATTGACAACTCTGCCGCATTGAACAGTAAAATTTGCGAAATAAATTGAACAGGCACAAAATACAATACGGAAATGCAACAGCATCGTTTAACAATGATACGCAATTTGCTAGCGCTACGTTCGCTGGCACTTCAAATACCAAAATATCCAAAACTTATTGATGCTTCCACAATGCAGCCACAACAAATGCCAAGCTTAACGTTTCATCGGTATCTTACACAAGCAACGACAACTAAAACAAAATCAGATGAGCAGAAAGCAAATCGACAACAACAAAAAATTACGCTTATTTCACCAAACCAGTCCATAAGCATCACCACATTGGATGAGGCACAGAAGTTGGCAAAGCGTCGTGATTTACATTTGCTGCGCTTGCAGCAGCCGGACGCAAAAACAGGACGCATTATGTTCAAGTTAGTTGCCGAAATTACTAATAATATGTGCAACATACTAAATATACGCTCTTTACAGATTGGTCACGTCTGCCGAAATGTTAGCAGATGAGTCGGAGGGCAAAGGCGCCGCTAAATCAACTACTGGAGATAAAGGCAACAAGAAGTCGGAGAAATCGCTAACCATTGGCGCTCGCATTACCGACCACGATCTGGCCTCCAGGCTGAAGAACATTACCAAATGGCTGAACAAGCGTCACGAGGTGCGCATTCTCATACAGGGCAATGCGAGTGGCGCCGATGAGGGCAATGCGGAGCGCATTGTGAAGACAATTGAAGCAACCATCAAGGAGCCCCAAATCCTTGGCAAAATTGTGCAAAAGCGTCAAAAGGGCAGCTTTATCAAATTCAGCATAATGCCTGTCGCAGCTGCAGCTGAAGCTGGCACAACAACTACGACGCCGCCGTTATCCCCGCCGTCAGCAACGGTAAAACAATCGTGACAACCACTGTGGTTCAAGACGCACGTCATCGCATACAGAATACTCATGGTGCTACCTTTTATGATCACACATCTAGACATAGCACAGACAAAGCACAACTACTCCACCATGGAGCGCAGCAATGATGAATCCCACCCGGATTCTAAAAAGCCTGTGGTGGTCGCCTTTGTCTCATTCTTCTTCATATTCGGCTTGAAGTACGTCTTTTGGATACGCACGTTTTGTAGAAATGATCGCAGCAGTTGATAGTTTTCCTTCCTCCTTTTTGTGTTTTTTAGTTATATAAATTATATTAATAAATAAAATGTACTCTTATTTCTTCAATGTGTGATTTAAGTTGTTAATTCTAAACAAATATTGCAAGATTGGGTCTGCATGCGTTATTTTCGTAATAAATATTTATATTCTTATTTTTCCCCAATTGTTTCTATACCCAATTCGACGTTGATAAGATGCATTATGACAAAAACAAATTTAATAAACTGCAAAGGTATAAAGTTCAAACCTCTACAGGTTTTTAAATATCGTTTATTTATTTATACGCACTTAATAATATAGTGCAACATCTTTTGAATATACATGTAATATTTATTATTTGTTTTACTTTTGATGATTGAGGATATATTTAAAATGTATTTGAATTTAAAGCACAGCTAATTTTGAACATAATTAAACTTTTAGGCTATATCCAATTATTAAAATAAATAAGTACATGTTTAAATATATATATGTATAAATTGAACCTTTGACATTGCACAATAAAAGCTAATTACACAAGAAATATAAATAAAGCTTGATGTTGGTTATTAAAAATAAACTAATTCGGGTTTTTGTATAGTGGAATATAATTTGTTTAGAAATACAATGTTTAAAAGAATTGCACGGCGTACGCAAATTATCAGACAGCTAAATCTTAAGATTTAACTAAATCTAAACATATTTTGTAGACTATTTCAAATAGCTGTTGAGTTTGTGTTGGAATAAAGCCAAACTAAAATATACATAAATAGAAACTAAGACCAAGCAAATAAATTACCTACGCAAAGTTTTACAAATACGGCACAAGGAACATTGTCTATTAAAAATACAACTATTATAGAAATACAATAATTGAATAATTGAATTGTTTAAAGCATTGAACGATTTCAAAACGATGCTGATAAAAACAAATTAAAAAAGCTGATAACAAACAAAATAAAAAACTCACGCTATGTCAGAACTGATAAAGCCTCAAATGATGTTTAATGGATTGTTCTGACGACGCCGCCGCCTAACTGATGAATCAGCATTATGCTTTTCTTTTCTACATGAAAACCCTTTAAAACATTGATATTGCATGCATCATACATTTTTGGAATGGACTATAAATTAAATAAATTAACTACAGTAAATGCAAAAGCGATTTTGTATTTTTTTGGGTAAGCTATGTTCCTTTTGTTGATGTTCTTTGCTGCTATTATTGTAGTTGTTGTTTGTTTGTTTAATGTTGCTGTTTGGTGTATTCCACTTACTAGAGTTTTAGACACGCTGTATCTCAAAGAGCTTGACCTCCGTATCATACCATATGGCAGGCTCCACATTACGCAAATAAATGACGCCCCAAATGTAAGTGCGAAACCAGGCGGTGGTGCCGGAATTGGCCTGATATTTGCGTATTAGTATGGGATGCGGCACGGGCAGCAGACCTACCAGAGTGCCGTGCTGCAAGAATTTCAGTATCTCCGATTCGTCGGTGAGACCCTTGTCAATGCAGATCTTCTCCACCTGTGGCACGAGCACTTGCAACAAACGCATAATGGTCTGCAGCGGCAGCTTTGAGCGCCACGAAACAATCCACTCGGGTGTGGGCGTCCAGCGATCACCATCGCCTGGCACCATTCGTATGCTGGAGCGATGTGACACCGAGAGACGCGTCTGATCATCGCGAGACAGCGTCGGCGATGTGGATTTGGCGCCAGCTGCGCGCGGTGAGCTTACGGGCGACTTGTCAAACGGCGTCAGGTCCGTTTTGTCATTGGGATGCGCCTGTTCGCGTTCGGTCATTTGACCAATATCTGGCGTTTCAAGCAGCGAGGTTTTAAGCGTTCCCGGCTCGGCGGGTTGTGCCGTCAGCGCTGCAGCCGGGGCCAGCTGTGTGTCACCCAGCTGCGAACGTTCATGCGATTCCGTTTCCGATTCGAGATCCTCCTCGGCTGTCGCCTCCTTATCTGTGCGGCCAATGTCCACATCAGCTCCTTCCTCATCGTCATCTTCCTCGTCCTCCTCGGCATACTCGTCGGGCACCTGCGCCGAAGGCAGCTCCTGACTGGTCATGGCCGCTGCCTGTTTGCGCTGCGGCACGCGCGGCAAATTGAATTTGCCACCTGTTTTGCGTCCACTGAGACACTTGGATATGCCAGCCATATCCGTGGGCAAATTGGCCATGGCATGAAAGACATGACGTTTACGTATTATCGTATAGACTAGATTCGAGTTACCATCGAATTGGTACTGTATGATGTTGTTGAAGATCTCCAGCAGAAAGAACACCAAATGATGATTGCTGGGCGCTGACAGCAGAAACCAGGGTGTGCTAAATGCCTCCAGCAAATGCAGCAGCTTCACGCTGGCCACCATTGACAGCGTTTTGAGATAAGGCGACACATTAACCAAGATGGTCAGCAGGCAATCGAACAGTGGCTGCAACCGCTGATGGCCTGTGGCTATAATTTTGTGAAACACTGTGATGAGCAGATCTGCATGGGTGCCGGTAAAAACAGGTATGTCCATTGGCACCGTGGCCGAGTAGGCCTTGTTCAGGCGCACGCCAAAGTTGCGCTCACCTGGCGAAAGGAAACAGATTAAAATATATAAAGCACATCCATAGCTGGACAATTCTCACCCGAGAGCAGCAGCAGTATGAAGACGCCAATGTGCATGAGACCGACGCGCGATTGATCTGCACGCGAGTAGTTTAGATGATAAAGTATGGGTATGAGAATGTCCAGCACATCGGAGCTCTTCAGTACGAAATACAAGAATTTCTTGTTGTAGTCACAAATCTTCCAGAACAATATAAGCAGCTCCTGATGGCAATGCAGCCGCTTTGTTGAGTTGGGTAAATAGTTTTGCACCAGCGGATTGTTGAGCAGGCGCGTTATGCCCCGCAACACAAAATGGAAATCCTCATCACGATGCACACGTGATAAGTAATTTATGAATAGATTATCGCCGCAGCCGCCCTCATCGTAGGGCGTGACCAGCACTCCACCTGCATGGGCTACTTGATGTTGTTGTTGTTGCTCCTGCAGCTGCTGTTGATGCTGCACAACCATGTCATGATCCAAGGTGACAATCAGCAGCTGCAGACAGGCCTCCACTAGCGGCTCCGTGGTGTCCGCAAATAGCAGATGGTTGTAGGGCACGCCAAAGCCAACAGGATCATATGAGCACACCGTGTTTAAAAACGAGGTGAACAGTGGCAGCGCGTGCCTGTTATCCGCAGAGGTAAAGTAGGCAATCCATTTGTTGGGCTCCTCCGATTGCTGTGGGCTACGATACATTGGTTCCGAGAAGCAGGTAAGCAGCAGCTTTAATAGCTCCGTGCGTCTTCGTTCCATGTGTGCATTGCGCGGCGGTGATTGGGCAAATCCGACTCCTGCCTCCCAGATGTATTCGCAGCTGTCAATGTTAGCCAGCTCTTCGGCCTTCTCTGGCCCAGCACGACGTGTTGCCGTTACCGTAAAATCAGGACAGAAGAGTAAATCACATATGGCATTAAGAAGCGACTGTGCCAGCGGCACTGTCTGGCCAAGATTGGCCTGCTCCTGTGCGGGCAGACTGCTCCAGAAGAAATCACGCCACTTATCATCCTCGAAAATGTAAGGCAATATGCGTACCAGAAGACGCACACAGTTCAGCACGCACTGTTGGTCCGCCTGGGTGCGACAGCTGCTGTCTACGGCTTGTGCCAATTTCTCCACAGCCTTGTAGCAGAGTGTCGCCAAGTTGGCGGGATTATCGTTGCGTATTTGACGTATTTCACTGGCGGTGACCAGCGCAAACACATCCTCAAGCGTCGTTTGATGAGCCTGCCAGAATTGCTCCCAGAACTGTTCATCATTGTTGTCAATCTTTTGATTCTTCTGCGTCAGCTGGACGATTGCCTTTCGAAAGTTCAGCTTGGAGTCGGTGTTTCCCATATTGTGTCGCTGTTGGTGTGTTAAAACGCCTTATTTGCAGCTGTCGCGTCTGCTGTTGCCTCAAGCAAAGAGTATGCAATTGCAATAATAAAGTTTTACATAAATTTAGCCTCGATCTTAATTCGAAAATTAAGAAATTCGCCTACGCACGTTAAGAAAATAGCGTAGCTATGTGTGTGAGTCTTGTGTGTGCTGTTGTTGGTTGCCAGCAGTGGTGTCACATAATCGATATGTTTTGCTTTTTAGCAGAAAGTATGGCAGCACTTGCCCTATAGCAATATCGATGACGCCACAGCAAGCACTTGTAGCTTGTGTTAAATGTATCGAGTCAAAAATGATCTGAATCGTGTTAGATGTATCAAGTTTTACAAATGATTCAAGCTTATCGTCACAAAAAAATCTTGGATTAACATTGAATTTTGCAAATAAATCAAGAGCTAATATTTTTAAATATAAAGCCGCCAATTAATGCATAAAGTATCGATTAATCGATACAAATAACTATACGACATGAACATCCCCGCTCTGCGCGGCAAGAAGAAGAAGCGCCAATACGTGGAAAAACATGTATAATTCCATTGAAATACCAGACTCCGACGACGATATGCCAGAACCAGCAACGGCTATGGCAAAATCAATAACCCGCGATAGTCAAATTAACGAGCACACGCCAGAAAAACAAAGAAAAATCTCAGTAGCCAGTTCAGCAGAGACGAGCACAACCAAAACATCTGGATTTTCACCGTCAGATGCATCTAGCAATTACCCTCCGATAGATATAAACAGCAAACAAGTGAGACATAGATCGAGAAAAACACAACATACAGTTCGCAATGCGGCCGAAAATGAAATACAATTCGAGACAATACCGCTCGATGATGAGGCCACCGAGAGTGGTGTTAATCAATCTGTCCAAGAAGACAAACGTCTGAAGGATAGCAAGAACCTAAGACTTGCCATTGGCAATATGGTAAACACGGAAGAGGTGCAGGCGATTGTTCAGCGAATTGCTAATGAGCGAGTGCGTTGTAATTTTTTGCTGGCTACCTACCAGGTAGGAATGCACAAAGTATGCAGTATTTTCGTAAAATATTCAATTATAACCATTTTAGCTGCCTGACATCAATTTCGCACTAAACACGCCCATAGAAGCGCTCAAGTTACAGTTTCAGGAACGTCTCAAGCAGCGCAGGGAGCGCACAAATACAGGAAATGCGCCAAACACAGCTACAATAAGTAGCCCGCAAGTCACAATGAAAACGAATTCTGAAAAGCTATAATTGATAAGTACAATCATATTTTATTGTAAGCATAAAGGAAAATTAGTTGAGCGTAAAAAACTAATAATTCTGTTAAATATATATAAATGTTAAATCACGCACTGCGTTTGTTTATTTTTTTCAAACCATTTATTTTGAATTCATTGTGAGTTGTTTACGCTTTTCGGCGCATGTCTCTGAAAAGTGCGTTTTAGTCAGTGGCACACAACAACCCAGCGTAGCCGTGATCGTCTAGTGGTTAGGACCCCACGTTGTGGCCGTGGTAACCCAGGTTCGAATCCTGGTCACGGCAATGCTGCAATATGCATTGTCACGGGCTGGGTTTTCTTTTTTATTTACTAATTAAATAAGAACTAAATTTTTTTTACATTGTTAGGTAGGCTGCTGCTTAACAGGCAACAAAATAATTTGGTTAGACACATTACATAATTTGGATGCGTATAAAATTGTCTGCTTGCTAAATTATAATGGATATTCGCTTTGCGTCAGAGCCCTATGCTGATTCCGGTTCGGCTGAAACTGATGAGGACCCGGATCAGGCCACAAATGAAGAAGATTTAAAACGAATTGATGAAACCATTCAAAATATATCGAGAAATTTGCGCAAAGGCGATTGGACCTATTTGGGCCGACATCCGGAGGTAATAATATATTAATTTTGGTACTCAAATGTATATATGCTTTCTACTTCAGATACGCGCTATAATACGCGTTATTGTAACGGAAGCTATTAAACAGCGGCCAGAAAATATATTTTCCTTTGCAGCAGATTTGTTCAATCCCAAAAAACAAAAAATTTTGACAAAAATGGTAAGATTTTAGTTGGTTGTTCCAACATTTAATCACATGACTATTTATGCAGATTAACAAGCAACTGAAATGGGTCAACAGTCAGGTTCGCAGCGGCGCATGGTCGCCCGCCGATGGGGTCATGTTGTTCCCAGACACAAGTAGCAGCTCTTTCGATGGGAAGAAATCCGATTGTGAGGTACCTTTAAAGGAAGCCTTTGATTGTGACTTGCATCAAATGGAAAATCAGTGCCCCGAAAATTTCAAGCCTAGTTGTTGAATTTATTGAAAAATGTTGCATAAAAAATTAAAAAAATTACAAGTGTTTGTAAAATCACAAACATTAAATACATAAAAACTAATGCCAAACAAATTAACTAGTTGCTCAATATTCAATTTTGAAGTTTCGATTTCGCTTTGCTAGTCTTCTTCGCCTTTTTTAGGAAATTTGTAACGAGTGCCGCGTTTTTCTGATCGTTCTCCCTTTGCTTTTCCATTTCGATGGCAGTGGAAAATTCCATTAGGGTGTCCATCTGATAAGTCCTGCGTGCCTCGATTGCCATCTTAAATTCCTCTTCGGAACGTCGGAAATCCACTTGAAAAATGGAAAAGGTTTTCAAAATGTTCAAACACTTCTCGCACAGAAAACGTGGCAAGCCGTGAACATCTTTAATCTGCGCATTAAAATATAGCTATAACTACTGTAGGCCAAATTAGGTATTTGTCTGGAATACCTCGATATGTATCGTATTGGCTATAATGCGTGTTAAACGACGGCCATTAAAAAGTGGACGCAATTTGATTCCATTTTCCACAGTTGCTCTACATTTGCAGATTCGGCAGCAATCGGTTAAGTCCAAATCATTTGGATTGACAAATGCAATTCTTCTAGTAAGGCTTCCTTCATTCTCGGACATGATGAACAAAAAATTATAATTTAGTAGCGAACTTGTTATAAAATTTTAAAAGTCTATGCTGCAACGCATGCTTCTAATTTTACGAATGTATTTTAAAAACATATATGATTTTTAAACTTTCAGCAACATTTTTGAACAATGCCGCCGCGCACAATATTCACCTCGCTTGAAGTTAGCTGCACGCAATATTCAACTTGCTTAAAGTTGGCTGCGCGCAATTTTCAATGTGCATTAAGTTGGCTGCTACCAATTTCCCAACAAGAGTACAGTGTACAAGTCGCATTAGTGTTAAATTCATATTGATTAATTTTATAGACGTATTTGTCAGTGCAAATTATTTACGAATTAACTTGCAAGTCTTAAATGATAAACCAATTAAAATTCAGAAAGCCCAACAAACCCACAAGAAATCTGCAGAAATTTCAACTTGAGTCTGCCATCTTTATTGGTAAGTGTTGCCTCTTATACCCATTCTTTTTCGAGGCCAATTCGCCGCATTTCTTGTTCGCCTTTGTTGTGCTAAGCTCATTCTGCCGAATAATGCCACAAGGTTACGTTTTGTTTTGCTATTCTTTATTTTAAATACATTTATTAGAAGGCAAAAACTATTTCTTAGGCAGTGAACAATAATTTTCAATTATAATCAAAGTACACGGAATATAGGAAAAACATTTGCAGTATCTGTAATCAAAATTTAAATCATGCCATAATACTTAAGCCAATAAACGTTTAAAAATGGTTTTTTATAATAAGATTTGTTACGCTTCATATTGGGAATTTTGCCTTACAGCCATTTTTATTAAGCAGCATACATACCTATTATACCGTACTACGCCTAAATTCGCAAGTGCAGTAACTGTGGCAACTTGGTTGCCCGGCGAAAGCATAAGGGAACATGTCAGCTAACATTAACATAACATAGATCTAACATAACAACGTTGGCTTTGAAAGGCGACGTTCGGAGTCTGTACTTCGCTGGAGTTTGCTTCAGTTGTGTTTCATTACAAAAAAGGAGAAAAAAAATAAAATACCCATACTGATTAAATTTTTTGTAAAATGTTGCCAAACGACAGAAAGATATTGAGGTGCAACAAAAAGATACGATTGCATGAAATTAAACAATTCAACCATTTCTCCTGATACCTTTCGCAGGCAACACGCTCGTCAGAATCAAAATCAGACTGCGCGGCGGCCTATCCAAAGACTCAACGCTGGAAGACTCAACCACAACAACAACAACAACAACAACAGCAGCAATCACAACAAGATGAGCAAAGCTGATCCCATATCGCTCAGTTTCCACGACTCTTGTCTGCGGATGTCCGACGTCCAGCTGCTGCACGGACCACGCTGGCTGAACGATCAGGCACTTAGCTCGATTAGTTAATACCAATTTCTATGCATATTTATATTTGTTATTTCAGATTTTGAGCTTCTATTATGAGTATCTGTCGCATGTCAAGTACAAGAACAACAACGATCTGTACTTCATAGCGCCCGAGGTGACACAGTGCATGAAGTATATGGATGACTCTGAGCTGGAGATGCTTTTCGACGAGCACGATGCGGTCAACAAGCCATTCATATTCTTTGCGCTCAATGATAATGGAACCACTGAAGCAGGTGGCACCCATTGGTCGCTGCTGGTGCTCTCACGACCGGAGAAGACGTTCTTTCACTTTGACTCCTATGGCAATAACAATACGGGCCCCTCGATGGAACTGATGACAAAGGTCAAGGAGTTGTTGGGCGTACGACAGGCCAAGTTTCGTCCGATGCGTTGCTTGCAACAGGCCAATGGCTACGACTGTGGCATTCATGTCATCTGCATGACCGATCATATAGCAGACTATGTGAATCGCTACGAGTTGATCGAGGGCTTACCCACATTGCACATTGACACGGTGAAGGCCAAGAGAGCAGAGCTGCTGAAGCTGATCCTCTCACTGGGCGGCAAGGACTAAACTATTAAATACTTTGTTATAATGTTTGTAGCTCTAAGTGATCTTTCATAAAACGTTACTAATTGTAAAATGCACTGTGAATACGATTCAACCGTATACGCTTAAACCAACTTGTGAGAGTGAAAGAGCGGGTGAGTGAGGTTCCGTGCGACGCAAGCCTTATGTGGTGGATGGCAAACGTTGAACGCAAGCTGATCTTCCATGCGAATGCGATATTTATTATAATAATAATTTGTATAATTTAATGTTTACTCTGGCCCAGTGCTTGGCACTAGAAAAAGAGACAAAACCGATCCCAGCACATTTGAAAGAAGTGCGACTCATGTATTTTTAGTTGGATTTCGAATAAATATTTGTTTATCCAAGCAAAAGCACTCATATTTATCATGGCTCCAAGGGGACAAACGGCAGCATAATATTTCTGTTTGTTTGCCCAAGAATTGTAGATGTGTGTAAAAAAATTTCCATGTGACGGAAGGTCTATTGGGAAGGAAACAGATTCGACATATAAAAATTTAATATAAAAACATATCCCCATAATCGATATTTTAATGGCTGTCTGCAGGCAGGGCTACAAATACAATCTGAGAACTTCCAGGAGGCTCTTTTAATACTAGAAGTTGCTTTTCCTGGATAGGCGAATAATTAAAACTAGTATACTCGTGTTAGTAGTGGAAAAACAATCCGCATGCTTATTATGTACATCAGTTTTCATCAGGCGATGCGCTGCCCAAGATAGCATCAATTTTGTTAATTAGCCCATGCGAACCGAGGCAGGACGAAGTCCATATAAAATATTCAGTCTTGCGTTGTAGTCCGTATAGAATGGTCGGGTCGTGGCTATTACAGTGCTATCACAATTATGCTCTGCTTGTGGGTGTTACCTCGTACCGTCGGGTGGCCGGCAGTTTTCGCCAGACCTGGCTGACACGCTCCTATGCGTTGGTCCTGAATGTCCTTACGCTTACACTGCTGCCCGGTTTGCACACAGTACATAAAGTCAATTAATTGGTTTCCCAATTTGATAATATTTACCACATACATACTGTACGCGGTATCCTACGCGTCCATTGCCTATACCCTAGTCTCACGCGGTAGTCGGGATAAAGCTCTGTTGGAAGTGGAGAGAATTGTGAACAGATTGAAGGGCCAGCAGAAGGTACATAATGTGCTCGACATAGAGGGTAGCTGCGGCTCTCTGGCCTATTTATTTCAGCTAAAACTTGGCAGTTTGCTGTATTTGTGCCTGAGCGGCATGATATCCTGCCTGATGATGCCGAATATCAATGACTGGACGCCTATCTTCTGTGCTTTCTTTTTCGGCAATACTTTGAATATCCCCCTGTTGGCCATCTATCGCTATTTTCTCGCCCTTTGGGACATTGCCTATTGCTATCAGTATCTTAATTCAGAGCTGGAGCACTTTATGAGCTGTGTGCGCCACAGATACCCTACAAATGCTGAGCTGGAGGAGCTGCAGCGACTGCGGTCACTGCACAGCCTGCTGACACGTTGCACAATGCGAATCAATAAGATCTATGGACTGCTATTGCTGACGACCCGATTCGACAATTTGGCATTTTGTGTAGTCTATGGTTATTGGGGAGTACTTTTTTCCTTTAGCGTAAAATCGCCGATATATATGCTTGTGTATGGCGCCGTCAATTATAATATGCGCCTGCTGGATTTCTACCTATTGAACTTCATGTGCGATCAGACAGTACGTTTTCAGAGCGCGGCACATCATGTCCTTAGCGAGGGCTATTGGTTCAAGGAGGTGAATATCATTCATGATTTTGACATACAATATTATATATTTAATAGCTAACCCATATTATCCTTGCAGCTGGATGCCTATGTCCTTTATGTGTGCACTTCGAAGTTGAGCCTTTGGGTGTGCGGCCTTTACAAGGTGAATCGTAGATGCTGGTTCCAAATGATAGGCTCCATTTTTGGGTTTTCTATATTGTTGCTGCAATTTCATCTGCTGTTGAATAAATACTCTTTGTGAAGCGCTAATTATATAAAAAATTTATACTAAAGCTATATGAACTTAAATACAGAGCGCTCTTATCATATAATGTGTCTATATACAATAAGATATTCTGATAAACATAATAAACAAATTGAAAGGGCTCGTCTTGCATCAGTGTAACAATATTTAAACAATAATTAAAACAAATTAATATGATCTAAGCCAGAATCGTATGTACATAAATTAGGCAAGCTAATATGATCTTTATACATATTTGATTATCTTAAAACATTAGTATAATCTATGTCAGCCTTATGCTCACAGCCACAGCAGGCAAACAATAATTTAATCAAATGAATACAATTAATATCAATATCATATTCTCAGCCAGAGCGGGCAGTCAATAATTTCAACAAATATATATATAATCCCTATCAATATCGTGAAGCGTAAACATATCGATCATATTACACACACTCATCTGCATTCGGTATTTAGTATGTATTACAATAGGTTACTTTTATAAGAGCTCATTTCAAACAATGCAATCAAAATAGATAAGTTAACAACTGCCGCCCAACGACAAGATCAGCTTAAGCAGATCAGCTCGCTTGGCCCTCACCGTATCAAAGTGCAATATGGGCAAGCCCTCGATCATCCCTAAGTGACTCACATAACCCGCTATATGATCGGTCATGCAGATGACATGAATGCCACAGTCGTAGCCATTGGCCTGTTGCAGGCAACGCATCGGACGAAACTGGGCCATACGCATGCCCAGCATACCCTTCACCTTGTTCATCAGCTTTATGGAGGTTGCCGTATTGCTGTTCCCATAGGAGTCAAAGTGAAAGAACGTCTGCTCTGGCCGAGAGAGCACCAGCAGCGACCAATGGGTGCCTCCCTCCTCAGTGGCTCCATTGTCGTTGAGCGCAAAGAAAATAAATGGTTTGTAGACAGCGTTATTCTTGTTTAGAAGCAGCGCCAGCTCGGAGTCGTCCATATACTTCATGCACTGTGTTACCTCCGGCGCTATAAAGTACAGATCATGGTTGTTCTTGTATTTGACATGCGACAGATACTCATAAAAGAAGCTCAAAATCTGCAAATCAATAAAGATATATATATATATATAGATATTGGTGTTAACTAATCGAGCTAAGTGCCTGATCGTTGAGCCAGCGTGGGCCATGCAGCAGTTGGACGTCGGACATCCGCAGACAAGAGTCGTGGAAACTGAGCGATATGGGATCTGCTTTGTTCATTTTGTTATTGTGTTTGTTGAGTCTGAATTATGTATACGGCGCACAGTCTGATTTAGATTGTGACGTGCGTGTTGCCTGAAAGTGTACGAAAAGGTTTTACAATTTTGTAATTTAGTGTTTTGGTTGCTTATGTGTTTTGTAATTGTTCAACCTTAAAATCTTTCTGTCATTTGGCAACATTTTACAAGAAATGTATAGGATACGTGATATTTTTCGTTTGTAATAGAACTTTTTCAGCGACTCCGAAACTGCAGTTCAAAGTTACCGTTCTTATGTTAAGTCTATGTTATGTTAATGTTAACTAACATTCTTCCGTTCGAATTCAGCGGGCGACCAATCTGCCACGTTTTATGCCAGGTACGCTGATCCTTACAAACTGCAATGCGTGCGAAATACGCTGGTCACAGTTTTGCCAAACCAGATTAAGAGAAAATGGTTAGAGCCGTCTTTTCACTTGTTTAACAAATTTTATTTTAAATGCAAAATCAAATGTGAGCTTAGATTACCGCTAAATTTACGATTAAAAACATATTGTATACAAAGTTAATATAATAGCAATTAAAACCACATCGAAATATTGATATTACGAGGCACTAACATGCACGTATACATATATATACATATATATATATAAATATATATATATATATATATATATATATATATATATATATATATATATATATATATTAATGTGCGGACACAGGACATGCTGATGGTTCGTTTCACAATTCGTGCAACAATTACAAACATTGTGTACACCGGGCTGTATATAAAGTTAATTAACGAGCCGATGGTAAATGGTTTGTGGTGGGTGGGTTATTTGCGGGGCCCAGGATACAATTTCGTACTACTAAAAGCTATACACTCGGCTGTGTATGTTTGTGTTTGGGTTAAGACAGAACGGCTTCACAGCCGCACCTCGGGACGCTGCCAGCCGCCAAAGGCACGCTCCAGCTCCTCGGCAACGGCCAGGCATAGCCGATCTTCGTTGAAATTGGCTATGACCTGGACGCCCAGCGGCAAACCCTCGCTGCCCAGACCCAACGGCACAGCGGTGGCTGGAAAGCCCAGCACATTCACAATGCCCGTATAGGAAAAGTTAATGGGACGCAGAATGGGCTCATTGTGATAGGGAGCCACAGTGGGATGCGTGGGATAGATGAGGACGCCATTGTCGCCCAGCAGCTGCTGCAGTGTGGCGCGCAGTTCGTCCCGCTTGGCCACCAGATGCTTGTACTTGGACGAGCCGTGCTGGCACTGTGCACTGTCCATCAGCGCCGTTGTCAGTCCAATGAACGTATGCTTGGAGGCACCAACCAGCCACTTCAGCAGCTCCAAGTAGGTGTTGATATCGTAGCGCAGATCGCCCAGTTGAAAGCTAAAGCCATGACCGGAATCATCGCGCATGTTGGCAAACCAAATGGCCGCCGATTGTCGTATCTGTGGCAGTTGCACGCGCTCAACCTGTTCAGCGCCAAACTTCTTGCTCAAATGCTCGATAACACGGCGCATGGCCTGACGCAGATCAGCATCTACGGCGGAGACCATGCGACCACCGCCATCGGACTCCTGATAAAAGAATTTCATTTTCTCCAGCGCCACGGGCTTGTTGAGTTGTAGCAGCTCCGCTTTCTCGCCGGCCATGATTTGCAGCATGGGTCGCAGATCCTCAGCAAAGCGTGACATGGGACCCAGGCCCAGAAATGAGTTCTGCTCCGCACTGAATGGTGTTGGGAACTGGCCCTTATTCGACACGATCAGCTTGCTCGGCTTGTGTCCAAATATGCCGTTGAAGAAGGCAGGCATGCGTATGGAACCGCCAATGTCTGAGCCCAGGCCAAAGGGTGAGGCAGCGGCCGACTGGACGCAACCCTCGCCGCCGCTAGAGCCGCCGACAATGCGATTCGTGTCGTAGGCATTGCGCGTCCTACCATGCACTGTATTGTTGCTCTCCCACCACATGCACACCTCCGACACATTGGTCAGCGCAAAGGGAATAGCGCCCGCTTTGCGCATCAATGCCATCGCATCGGCATCCTTCTCGGCGCGCAACTCGCGACGCGAATAAAGTCCAGCCGTATGCAGCATGCCTGGAGGGAAAATTAAAGCATTGGTAGAGTACATTTAATATATCGAAATTTATTGTTATAGGCTCACCCTTAACCGATATGCAGTCCTTTGTTGTAATTGGCACACCCAAAAATGGCTTCAGCTCGGCCAATTGATCCACTGTGTACTGTCCGGACTTGATGAGAGCATCGGCTGCGGCGGCTTCCTTTAAAGCCTCATCGTAGCGCTCGTCCACCACGCAATTGAGCAAAGGATTCACTTCCTTAACGCGACGTATAAACGATTCCAGAACCTGAACGCTGCTTAGCTGTGAAAAGAACGAGCGCATTAATGGCCAGTGGCAAGAAATAGGACAGTAAGTGTCTCACCTCTTGGTTGCGAATTTTGGTTGCCAGCGATGTGGCCGATTCGAGGAGTATGGGATCCGTTATGGCCGGCATGCGATCCCCGCTGACGCCATAGATCAAACGGAAGACGAAACGAAAGAAGGACTGCAGCAGGCCAAACAAGAAGGCGCCAATGGTGCGTCCTAGCGGCACCTTCTCCGGCTGCAATTGCTTCTGCGGCATGACGTCGTCTGATATGGAAAGTGATGCTATAGCTCTATATTGTTAGCAATTGGTATCTTTGATTGTATTCCTTTTCCTGTTCCTACTCTCGCCCATGTGTTGTTTCTCTGCCAAAGGGAAAGAAAGAAAACAATATAGGAACACAATTCTTGGCAAAAACTCAAGAAATCTTAATCGGATAAACATGAGTCTAGATTGCGTTCAGGCATAACCCGGCAAAATTTTCTTTAACAATCTTATGTAAACACATTCTATTATCGAATTGCAAATAAATATACATAGTATATGCAGTTCTGTGGGTCTGTGTACATTGGTTTAGCTAGGCAATAAAAAAACGTCTATATGCGAGTACACAAACTTAACAGTCTGTTAACAGCTGCTTAACATGGCCGTGCTAGTAACAGCGCGTGTGTTAATGTTAATATAAATAAATTGTATCTTTGCAAAAACGACATTAATTTAATTAAATGAAATTCAATAACAACTTTAATGCCACAATTGCAATACGCAGTGATAACAATTCTGGCAAATAAAAAAAGATCAAAAGATAATAATGTTGGCACATAATGGCATTAAAGCTAAGCCAACAAAGAACTATAAATATTCACACTAATTGAATGCCATTATTCATTGCTTTAGTTAAGTGAACATGAATCTTATGCTAATTGTATTAAAAATATGATATGATACTTTTTTATTTCCTGATTAAAGCCTGTTCGCTTGGATGCGAGAACTGCCTGAAGCAGAGAACCGTAGAAGCAAGGCAAATGAATATTCTGATCATTTTATGGCCTGGATTTCGTATTATTGCCCATTAATATTGCATATGAATATACGCTTTACATTTATTGATTTCAATTGATTCCTTATGGACACATTTAATAGAAATTTCGAAATTTGAATTCATTCTGCGTGCTAATAAATTATATGTGAGCACCGAACATCCACAGTTTTGAGCAATCAATTGCCAGCCACTGTCAAAGCAGCCACTTAAATATCGCCACGTTAGCCTACAGATCGGGCGTGAGTCATGCATTATCAAGTTTACGATGTCTGGGACCACAAAGCTTTACACACAGCAGATCCGAAATGATACATGACTAAATGCCCGACGAGCTATGGATATAATGTACAGAACTAGCAAACGATTCCCAGAGTGCCAATAATAAACAACAACAAGTTTGCTTCAGTTGACAAAAAACGCCTGATAAATACCCTGTAAAAAGTGCGAAATTATCTTCTCTCAAAATTGTGCCTATTTCTTTTAAGAGTAAACGATCACAAGGCTCTATATGACCTTTTTTCGAGCAGTTTTAAACTAAGTATGCCTGGTAATTTCTTGAAACAAGGACAGGAACTTATTTTACTCATAAATTGACTTTGTGGGAGTATATATATAGCTGGTCATTTCCGAAACAAAGACGGGCATATATTTTACTTACAAAATGTACAAACGCAAATACAAAAGCTGAGGGAAAAACGTTGGGTATAAAAGCTGAGGGAAAAACTTAGGGTATGCATATAAACACGCAATGGATAATTGAAGAACGAAAAATTTTCCATTTGCCCGGCATATGCACATACGTATTTTAATGACTTTTCAGAAAATTTATAAAGCGTAAAGCACGTATATATACATAGCTATACAAACTAAAATATTGCTAATTGTATAGTCGCAATATAATTCCAAATAGGAAGCGACCTTTTAGTCATTAAAAAAAAAAACAACTTTAGGATTGTTAAAAGCACTTAAAGTTGATTTAAGGCAGATTTTCTATAGCTAATTAATTATGTTCATTTTCTACGCCCCTTAGCGCCCACAAGGGGGCGTTGACTATTGTAAGTAACTAGTCTAAGGGATTAATGAAATTGTATATAAAATAAATCAATGTTTCCATTTGTTTGTGTGTTGGAATTGAGCTTACGGAATCGAGAATTTTGGTCAAGTTAGAAATAAGATTAGACACGCAAGTTTCTAGTTTGGAAGCGACCACTGTACTGGAGGATTGGGAATCGGTTAAGTGGCATTGCCTGATAAATAGAAAGAAGAAAAAAAAGCAGACTCAAGCAAGTTCATCAAACGACAAAATCTATACAGCTTATTATTTTGCTGGCATATGTAGAGTTGACATTATATATCTGCTGCAGGCACATTATCTTATCGTTCGCCATGAATGGTGTCGAATTAGCAGACGGAGTTTACTTTGGGCTTAAATGATAGCCGACCAGCAGAGATTATAGAGGGAAAAGAAGGCAATGTCCAAACATAATAACAAGACAAAGAATGGGCATATAAAAGCGTATTCCAATTAAGCTACAGCCAGAAAGAGAGCGAGTGATAGTGAGAGCGAGCGAGAGAGAGATATAGAGACAGAGTAGCCACCCACTCCGCAGCTGCATGTACGATATGTGGAAACCACAAAAAATGACTCATCGCTGCGACAATTTCACTATCCGCAGCTGCAGCCATAACTTAAAACGAAAATGTGATAACACTTGAACTAGCCATGCTAGAATCGCGAGTGCTTAACTAGGTTATGCTCTGTTAACAGCGTTTGTAAAATTTAATGGGGTTTAAAGTGTCAAATTCACGTGAATTAATTGTTTATAAATTGAAACTTGCTTTTTGTGCACAAAAAATTATAAGTAAACAAAATCTTTAACATTTAATTTTTTAACTTAAGAATTATTCTTTTGTTTTTTTTAATTACTGTTTTAAAATGGCTTTAGTTTCAATCATTATTTCCACAAAGATATACACACACAGAGTATACATAGGCAGCGTATGCCGCTACATATCCTGTCTGTCTCTTTTTCTATCTCTCTCTCTCTCTCTCTCTCTCCGTTTAAGTTTCGTCAAGTTGAAGGGCGCCGGCTGTGTTTTCGCCACTTTCTTATCTCACACATTGCGTCGGTATTTTGTAATTGTTTGTCATGGCCATAGTTTGAACAAGCGTCTACTATTGCTGTTGTTGTTGTTATTATTATTATTGTCGCAATTCCTTATCATCTGTTGTTGTGGCAGCATATCGCAACTTGTTCGAGCGATGTTTGTTTTCTTAATAAGTTTAATTGAATTGCCCGAGTCTGGGAATGGGCACGCTTCAATTTACACATGGCAACAAATGAAATTTAACACATATTTGTACGTGAGCATACAAATGAATCAACTGCTAATTATTAATAGTAAATTTAGCAATTGATTTGGGCAAAGTTTGATACATTATCAAGCAACGATATGGAGCATGAAGCAAGAAAAAACCTGATTATTAGCCCGATAAGATTACCGCCAGAGTCATCAAGCGTGCGTGCAGGTCATATTTTGATTTATGATAGGCACATTTTAAGACGTTATTAACACTTGTTGCGTGAGAGCAGAGAGAGTAAGTGTATAAGAGCTCAAAACTAATCAAGTGTCAAACTCTAGAATCCGCGGGCGCAGTTGACAGCTAATGGATTCAATAGTGATATGAATGGAGCAATTGTTTGTGTGGGTGTGCAAATGTGTGTGAGTATTTGTGCGTCAGGGTGGCAAAGCAAACGAAACAACCGGCAAGCGTTCGCTTGATGACATCATGCTAACAACAAAAAATATATTGTAAAAGGATTAAAAGTTCAAATGTGCAGTAATGTAATGCTGCACAAAAACCACAATCAGCCTGTTGATGTCAACTGCTGCAAGCAAAATACAAACAAACACGCATTCACGTATTTACACACATATATGCACAGTTGTTGTCATAATTATGCATTGCATTGCACAAAAAACTATTTTTTGCACTGTCTTTCACTCATTTTACATGGAACCGGTTCGCCAATGAGGCGTCAAGTAATGCGCCAATTTATAGTTGTCATTCCATTAAACACTGCACATACACACATACAAACTAAATTACTTCCTATGCGTACTGAGTCGCACAAATAAAACTTGCTTATTTTCGTTATTTTTTTCCGAAGAAAATGAACACGGCATTCGGTTAATAGCAATTGAAAATGCATACACAAAATTAGATGGTCAGGCGACAGGAATTTTACCCGCAATTACAACGATCCGAACAGCTGACCGACTCGTTGAAAACTGACAAAACGGATCTGGTTTGTTGTGCACTAGTAAGAATTGAGGCTGGTACACAGCTTGCGTTACAATGTTAACGAAACTTTTTGCTATGTGCAATGTGGGAAAGCTAATCCTTTATATGTATTTAAATATATGTAAATGTGATGTGGCAACGAATTTTATGCTGAATGCAATTAAAGACATTGTTGGGTTTGCACAATTTAATTTTAAGTGATTTAGTAAACCTTTGTTATCGATATCGCAGCTGCCCAGCACACCAATGTTATCGATGTCCAGCAGCTGATTTAGTTTACATATCGATTAATCCGATTTCAGCTGTTGATCCAAATTATTAAACTGCACCATGGCCGACTCAAAGTTAAAGCCACCCACATCAATGGATAAAGAGCCGCTCAAACCGCCAGCTGTAGCTGCGTTATCCATAAGCAATTTGCAGCTGCCAAGTTCGGCGCAACAGAAATTGACTGTAGGCTCCAATAACACAGGCTCGGGCTCGGGCACGGGCTCGGCAACGGGCAATCCGCGCAACAAATGCGCCCTCAAGCCTGGTTACTCCTTGATGAGCTGGGTACGCTTATGCAATTCGGGCGCTGATCTCTCTGGCACCGGCGGACGCGTTGTACCAGTTAGCCGTGCCGAGCTAGCCAAGCACAATCAGGTCAATGACGCCTGGATGGCCATACGGGGCAAGGTATTTAATGTGACACGATACATGGACTTTCATCCGGGCGGTGTGGATGAACTGATGCGCGGTGTTGGACGCGATGCTACCAAACTCTTTGACGAAGTGCACGCCTGGGTCAACTATCCCCAATTGCTCGGCAAATGCTATGTGGGTCCGCTGAAAGAAAACGTTGCTGCCAAAGTGCAAACTGTGACAATTCGACCGCCGCCGGCGCCAGCGGAACTTGTGCCGCGCTTTGATTGGATACAACAGCGTAGCGAACTGACACTCTGCTTCTATACGCGACGCATGGCTAATCCTGGGATGCTGCTGAAGCGCACGGCCGCTGCTGACGCTCTGGAGCTGTGCGTCCAATTGGCAAGCAGTTGGCATGTCTTCGATTTTAAGCTCAGCGACGCCGTCGTTTGGCCTCCAAAGGCTGTGCGTGTTGGTCATGAAACAGGTAAAATTGAAGTGGTGCTCAGCAAGCTAGTAGCAGAGCCCTGGACAACATATGGCAGCCAGAAGGTTGACAAGCTGAATGCACCAAGTGAGGAACACTATGAATATGAAGTGTTACAGTGCGCTAACTTTAATCATGACTCCTTTGAGCTGAGTCTGCAGAGCGTCAAAGAGGCGGTGCTCATGCATGTGCCAGTGGGCTATCATCTGGACATTGAAGTGCCACATAATGGCCAGCTGCTAGAGCGCAGCTATACACCCGTGCCCCACAATTGCCTGCCTTCCAACAGCGCTCAAATAGACACAGACTCAAGTCCAGGCATCAGGCAGGACTTTCTTGTCAAGTATTATGAGAATGGTGCAGTGTCCAGCCATTTGCATCAGCTGCAACCAGGCGCCACTGTTCGACTGAGTTTGCCGCGTGGCAGCTTTGCCCTGTCCGCGCTGGAGCCACATCGCAACATCTTGCTCCTGGCCGCAGGCAGCGGCATCACACCCATTTTAAGCCTTCTGCGGCCGTTGCTTCGGCGGCACACGAATCGCCTGTAAGTCACGAGTTTTTTTTAAGCTATTCATCATGCATGTATTTATTCTTACTTTACGCACAGCGAACGTCTGAAGCTGCTTTACTTCAATAAGACAAACTCGGATATATGGCTGCGGGTTAAGTTGCAGGCCCTCCAGGACGCCGATGAGCGTTTCACGTGCGAGCACATTTTATCGCAGGCGGAGCAGCCAGTCCAATGCGGCCGCATCTGCCAAGAGCTGTTAGCGCCGTTGTTTAATAAACAGCAAGCCGAGTCCTTCAGCTACGTGGCTGTGTGTGGACCTACGGGATTCAACACAGCCGCGCTGGACATCTTGAAGGAACTGAATCTGAAGCCAGAGCAAGTGCATGTCTTTCAGGGCTGACATTGACGCAATTCCCCTTAAGAAATCTTAACTAAGCTTTCATTTTTTTTAATTTTCTTTGTATTTATAGTATCAGGCTTAAGGCAAATTTTCCAACTTGTACAAAATATAGAAAATTTATTGTCAATTTTTATGATCTTTCCTAAATAAGCCTGAGATTTTATACATTTTGGTTTTTGCTTTCCCGCCAATGTATAAGCAAACTTCGTGTTCAAAAATGTTATTTCTAGCAGATTGTTTTGTTTTTATATATATATTTTTGTTTTTACATATTTTTGTTTCAATAATTTAATAAGTTTAACAAATACTAGAAAACTTTTATTCCTGACGTTTTTGTTATTTTTTTTTTACAGAAAAGGCGTCGTCGTCATTGTCGCAAATTCCTTTGACAAAGTTTTGCACATTTTTAAAATAAAAAGGAATTTCAATTTAAGAAACAAATAAAAATATTTTGTGTTATTGTGGAGGGCACTGGTAAAGCGTACAAAAGTAAAAGCTTTTCAATATTAAAGATATAATTTTGACATGGTTTTAAAACAAATCTGTGCAAAATACGGCAGAAAGCAGCAGCATAAAATTTATAGAAAGTTGCGACTCGCGAATTTTTGCACCAACAACACAGTACGCCAGCTCACTGTTAAGTAAACATGCGAGTGTTTTGTGTACACTTTCTGTTCGTGTGTGTGTGTGTGAATATGAAAGGTCTTCATCTAGTAGGAGCGAATTGCTGGTGGCACTGTGTCCACCTCGTTGTCCAGCGTGTGATCGATGACAGGTCTGTATTTAAGATCGATATCGCCTTCTTCGGAAGTCACCCAGGCGAGCGTGTGCTTGCGCCAATGTTCCTCGATGGGCTTCTTTTCCTGGTTTTCCAGGGGCTTGCTGTAGTCCTGTAATATACATAAACAAGCATTAATGGATGTAAACTTGGTTAAGAATACTATTTGTTATTCTGTTACTTACGTATTCATCAAGGCGCACTTTGAAATCTTCGCGTGCGTGTGCGCCACGTGATTCCTTGCGCGCCTCGGCGCCCACAATGGTCATCTGTGCATTGGCCAGCAGATTCTGCAGCTCCAGTGTTTCAATCAGATCCGAGTTCCACACAAGCGATCTGAGGTTTAAAAAAACCATTAATTAATTATAATTTAAGGCAGAGTATTAAGGGTGTTACGCACTTGTCGATAACCTTGACGTCCTTGAATAGCTTGTAGATCTCCTTCATTTCGCGCACACCCTTTTCCAGTATGGGTCCATCGCGGAATACAGCCGCATGATTCTGCATGCATCGCTGCATCTTCAGACGCAGATCGGCGGTGGTGATATTTCCATTGGCATGGCGCAGCTTATCTAAATTGGCCACTGAGAACTCGCCAGCATTCTAAAAGGGATTGAAGAGTTATTTAAAATATTGATTTAAGATAATATTTGTAGGTCACTCACATCTTTAACCGTGGGCGCCGGTGCACCTGGATTGTTCTCCTCGGCAATGGTTTTGGCGCAGGCGCGTCCAAAGACCACAAGATCCAGCAGAGAGTTGGCACCCAGCCGGTTGGCACCATGAACCGAACTGCAGGCCGCTTCACCAGCCGCATAGAGGCCGGGCACAATCGTATCGTTACCATCTTTATCAATGGTCAGCACCTGGCCACGATAATTGGTTGGAATGCCGCCCATATTGTAGTGCACAGTGGGCAGCACGGGGATGGGTTCGCGTGTGACATCGACGCCGGCAAAGATCATGGCAGTCTCGGAGATGCCAGGCAGCCTTTCGGCCAACTGTTTGGGCGGCAAATGGTGCAGTTGCAAGAATACGTGATCCTTTTCGGGTCCCACGCCGCGGCCCTCCATTACCTCAATGGTGATGGATCGGGAGACAACATCACGCGAGGCCAAATCCTTGGCGACGGGCGCATAGCGCTCCATAAAACGTTCGCCTTTGGAATTGATTAGATAACCACCCTCGCCGCGGCAACCCTCGGTAATTAGACAGCCGGCGCCATAGATGCCCGTGGGATGGAATTGCACAAACTCCAGATCCTGTGAGGGCAGACCCTGGCGTGCCACCAAAGCGGTGCCATCCCCGGTACACGTATGCGCTGATGTGCACGAGAAGAAGGCGCGTCCATATCCGCCTGTAGCCACAACCGTATTCTGGGCACGGAAACGATGCAGGCTGCCGTCCTCCAGATTGATGGCCAGCACACCACGACACTCGCCATCCTCAAAGATCAGGTCCAGCGCAAAGTACTCGACAAAGTAATGGCAATCGTAGCTCAACGACTGTCCGTAAAGTGTGTGGAGCAGGGAGTGACCCGTACGATCCGCAACGGCGCAACATCTGTGCGCCTGACCACCCTTGCCAAACTTCAGACTCTGGCCGCCGAAGGCGCGCTGATAGATCTTGCCGTCCTGGGTGCGCGAGAAGGGCATGCCATAGTTCTCCAGCTCGATGACGGCCTTGGGTGCCTCGCGTGTCATATAGTGTATGGCATCCTGATCGCCCAGCCAATCGCTGCCCTTGATCGTATCATACATGTGCCATTTCCAGTCATCTTGCTCCATGTTGCCTAGCGCCGCGTTGATGCCGCCCTGGGCGGCAATCGTGTGCGAGCGTGTGGGAAACAGTTTCGTGATGACAGCCGTGCGAAAACCTTCAGCGACCAGGCCAAAGGCAGCACGCAGTCCAGATCCGCCGGCGCCCACAACAATTGCATCGTAGGCATGATCTACGACCGGATATTGCTTGGAAATGGCATCTGGATTCGCTGATTTCGCCTGCTGCTGCCCTGGCGTTATGTGATAGCTTCGCTGATGCGGCGACGCGGCAGCAACTGTTGCCACACGCTGCTGCAATTGACAAATTGACAAATTGCATATTGATTATATTTAATAAAGCGTGTATTATTGTTATTGTCGGTGAGATAAGAGCAATTAGTCACACGATTTATGAAACCAAAAGATTATAATAGCCGCAATTTACGATCAGCTGTTTAGCCGGAACGGTATTTGATAAATAACCTCTGTCCTTACATTTTGTAATTTGTTTGGTAAACGGCAGCTGTAAATTTAATGACCGCATTCGTTTTTAATGTGCATTATTTAATGGGTAAACAACAAGTGTTGCCCCAAGCTGGTGATAAGCTCGTGACAAATATCGTGTAACAAAAACACGAAAAAATAGATGTAACAAAGATATGGTCAGTGTTGCCAACTATTGGAAAACAAACTATTCTAAACTGAAAAGCCTGTAAAAGCATCCAATTAGACATCTAACCAATAATGAAGCTGTCTCCAGATTATAGTCACATTGCAATTTTGCAATACACGAAAATACATATAATTTTAGTTGATTGCACAATACCATTTCTAATAGCAAGTCAGAATTGCCTCTATTAGCTCTTTAAATTTGAAGCCAGATTTAAACAGACGCAAGCGTATTACGCATCACTGGCAAGGGCAAGCCTGTCTGGGCAAATACTTAAGTCACTTTTAGTGTATATGTTTTATGTACATAGGGCAACACTTAACATTTATATTTATTGCTGCTTATAGAACTTCCAACTATTTCAGCTCGTAAAATAAGCGCATTATCAAAGCTGAAAGTGTTAATGGAGATAAGGTGACTTTCTATTTTGTTTTGCAAAAACACTGCCAATTATCACATGTATGTATGTATATACGTTCACATGCATTATACATTTATATTTGTATTTGTTTATGCAGACTAAGAAGAGAGCAGCACACGCCATTGGCCGCAGCCTGGGAAGATTCCCATGACAAGTGTTGATAAATGTCTAATGTTCATCAGTTGAAGCGGCGCTTGAAATGGCACACAGATTGATATTATAGTTGCTTATGCAATAATTGGTGTATAAAGTATAGCTCATATCAATAATTTGCATTGTATAATCAGCTGTAGAACAGTGGGCGCGTCTCTCCCATGTGGGCATTGAATGTGCTGGCTTATCAGCTCGGCAAAGCGCTTAAATAACTCAAAGCAAGACGACGCCTATCAAAAAGCCGAATTTTAATACCGCTTTGTTGCCAAACTAGACGCTAGGGGAGGGGGTTCGGCGGCGTTGGGTGCTGCGTGCAACATAACCTCTGTGCATTAGCTGCATTCACAAATTGGGCTTGTCTAATAACAACTGCAGTGAAATCACGACCAACTGGTGCATGTTTTAGGTTTACGCAATGCCAGGGAACACTTTGGTGCAGACATTCGTCTAGGCCAAAATTTAACAAATTACATAACACCGCCGCAGACTCGCGAGGTCTGCGTTTTGTTCGCACTTCTTTTCGCCTGCGCCGACAATGTCGCCAACGCAAACTTTATGTGGATTTGGTTAGTTGTCCACGTAAATGCGCAGCATTCTTGATTGTGTAATTGAATTGTAGTGCGTTTGGGCCACAGCTACCTACCATTGACGTGACTGCATTTTTGGCCAAAATCGATGGCACACGCATAATTCGGTACATTTTTGAGGTTGCTGCTGCTCCGCTATGTCTGCAATGGAAGATTCACTTTAGTTTAATGTGTACGCGCACCAAAAAGCCAACGTTATTTAATAAAAGTGAAAACAAAATCTATACGTGTTTGAGTCTATGTGTTCCAAAATGAAAAAGTTTACAAACTTTTAAAAGTTATGTCGACTGCAGTGTGGCCCGAGTTAGGAAAACTGATAAATACACTCAGACCAGGGCTGCATACTTCTTTTTGTCGGTCTAGCTGCTGGTATCGATACTTTGGCAATTGTTGAATGCAATAACAGGCGTCATTCTCAGCGGCTCTAATTAAGACCACCTGTAAAATTTATAATTCTTATCACACAAAATGCGACTAAATGTCATCCATCATCACCATTTTTATAAAAATATCAACAGCTGTCCGTTTACAGTGTGACCAGTACAGTAAAAAGCAGTTGCAGTTTACAGCTGTTTATTTTGTATAAGGTAAGTAAAATGTACATAAAAGAATAAGTTCATGATTATAAAATATGTCTTTTGTTCATTTAAACGTTAGATTCATGAGATTTTTTAAATGCATCCAGTTACTTGGATGGCCTTGAGCCACACCTATTTGCGTACTCATCCGGAGTAAAGTCCGACATGTTGTTAATGCCCATTTTCCATGTTACCTCGCCGCTTTCAAATTTCTTGTTGTGTTCTTCTACTTTTGCTTTAGCTTTTTCGTAAAGGGATCGACGCATTTGCTCTTCATCTCCGTCGTAATTCTTTTTGTGGGTAGCCTGGTATAAAAAGAGGCGTCAAGTAGGCTATTGCGTTTTGCGTGTTTTGTTTACAAACATTACCTTGAACTGGGCCCACTCCTCGTCAGTTACTAGCGACATGTTTGCAGCTTTGATTTTAAGGGTATACTGGTCGTATGACGATGCAATACAGTTTAATTTTGATGATACATTCAATTTACGATGACTCACATACAAATATGTATATATAATACGACACAAAGAAAACAATGCAATATCAAAACAATGCTGCCAGTCTCACGTGAAGTTGGCTGCGCGTAATCTATAAGCATGTGGCAGCACTGTTCGAGCTACAAATCGAGCTCGAGCTTTGGTGAATATAGATTTAAAAATTGAAAAGGTGGTTATGCATTTGTTGTTTCCAATTTTAACTTAAATTATGTCCAGTTTCTGGGACAGACCCTTTGCCCAAAATCAATATATAGCTGCATTTTTTGCATCACTCGGCGCACTAAGTGCAGGAGCCACGGTGGGTTGGTCAGCGCCGGCACAGTACGACGTTACGCAGAAAGAAATATATGGCTTTGCAGTGAGTCTTAGTGAATACGCCTGGGTATGCGCTATGTCCAGTTTGGGCTCCAGCTTTATGGCAATGCCAGCAGGACCATTGGCCAATTGTATGGGCCGCAAGCTAATTACGTTGTTGATGGTGCCACCATTTTTGGCAGGATGGGCAATTTTAATATTATCGAAAAATCTGTATATGCTAATGGCAGGGCGCTTCTTGCAAGGATTCTGCGGTGGTTGCTATTTTATAACGATACCCATGTACTGTTCAGAAGTTGCCCAAGTGGAAGTAAAAGGATACCTTGGCAATTTCTTTATGATCTTCTTTGTGCTGGGCATCGTTTACGCATATGTAATGGGATCATTTGTTGACTTTCGTTATTTGAATTACGGTTGCGCCATATTGCCAGCAATATTTCTGCTGACCTTCATCTGGATGCCGGAGTCGCCAGTGTATTATTTGCTCAAGAATAGGAAGGAGAAGGCGTTACGATCGCTTCGCTGGTTGCGCGGAAACAGTTTTAATGCTTTTCTGGAAATTGATCGCATGGAGCAGGATATTTTAACAATGCGGCAGGACTATGCAAATACCTGCCAAACATTACGACAAAAGGCGACATTAAAGGGATTATTTATTTGCATCGCACTTATGTTTTTCCAGCACTTTTGTGGCAGCAAGGCTATCATCACCTATGCCGCATTCATTCTCATTGAAGCGGACGTGGGCTCCCAAGTGAATGTCGAACTGTCCACTATTTTTGTGGGTGTAGCATTTTTCCTGTCAACCATATTTTCGCTGCTCGAGTGTGCTGGTCGTCGTCCGTTGTTGATTTGGTCTGTGTTCTTAGTCATACTCAATTGTGCACTGCACGCAATGTACTTCAATCTTAAGGCTAACAACGTGGACTATTTGCATTCCCTGACCTGGCTGCCCCTGTCCAGCATGTGCTGCTTCACATTCTTCTTTGGCTTGGGGCTGGGCGTGCTGCCGTTTGTCATAATAAGGGATCTGTTTAGGCTGCATTCTGAAGTTGTTGGCTCTGGCATTGTGTGGACCATTGCTCATTTTTTTGGTTTTCTCAGCACCAAAAGTTTTTCCATAACACTGGAGGCCTGGGGCATGGCAATATCCTTTTGGTCTTTTGTAGCTATTTCCTGTTTGTCCTTGCTGTTTGTGTTCTTCTTTGTGCCCGAGACTAGGGGCAAGACAAATGAGGAAATTCAGAGTATATTGGATTCTAAGACTGTACAATAAATATATGTTCTGCTCAGAATCGATTTGTGTTTTAATTTTTTGATATATGTAGATGCTAAATGCCAAAATAATCGAAACATGAGTTCTTAATGCGAGTGAGACTCATGAGATCTTGCGCTACATTAGCATTGCGTCATTGAGCAAAAAATTACTCAATACTCGACTCCCACTCTCAGCAGTCTCAGCAGTCTCTCTGGTCACTCATGGGGCTCACCTGCATTAAAAATTCTTGTTTCGCTTATTTGAGCAATTGCAGCATCTGTATATTGTATGGTTGGGGGTTCCATCACCAAATTTCGAGCATCATATTGACTTTTATTTCTATGCCATTTTTACCTGGGCCCGACATTTTCGAATTTATCCAATACCACAACTGGTATGGTATGCCTAGTAGAGTGTAAAATTTGTTAGTATTTTGGTTTTTTCATAGGGAATTGTCTTTCAGATTAGTCTATTTATTTTAAAATTGTCTTGGTTTTAAGACAGAAGTTAAAAACTGTATATCCTGTACTAGAATGGGCGTCATTAAGCAGTTTTTGGCCGGCCTGGCTGCGGCCTTCGGTGCCTTTTGTTTGGGCGCCTCAATTGGCTGGTCCGGGCCCATGGAGCAGCCGGTAACATCGGGTGCTGCCTACAAGTTTGGGACCAGCAGTGATGAATGGAGTTGGATTAGTTCAATGTTAAACTTTGGAGCCGCCTGCATGTGCGTGCCCGTTGGCATATTGATTGGTGCATTTGGACGCCGTCTAATCATGTTGATAATCACGATTCCATATTTTCTTGGCTGGGGCTGTATTATTGGAGCGCAAAAAACCTTCATGCTATATATTGGCCGATTCGTTGTGGGCGCCTGCGGTGGCGCCTTTTGTGTTATGGCGCCCGTCTACACCACAGAAATAGCAGAGATCCGATTGCGGGGCGTTATGGGCTGCTTTTTCCAGCTGCTTATCGTGCATGGCATTCTTTATGGTTTTATTGTGGGCGCCTATTGTGAGCCATTCCTCGTCAACGTATTGTGCGGAATCTTGCCACTTGTGTTCCTGGTATTGTTCTTCTGGATGCCCGAATCGCCCGTCTTTCTGTTGCAGAAGGGCAAAACGGAGCAGGCGGAAAAGGCATTGAAGTGGCTGCGTGGAGGCGATGCGGATGTAAGCGGCGATATGGCCACCATGGCCGCCGACAGTAAGAAGGAGAAGGCCACGTTTGTCCAGGCACTGTCGAAAAAGGTGACCTGGAAGGGACTCGGCATCGCCATGACATTGATGCTGCTGCAACAGTTTACGGGCATCAATGCGATACTGTTCTATGTGAACGCCATCTTCGAGAAGGCGGGCACCGGCCTCTCGCCGAACACCTGCTCGATTCTGGTGGGCGTTGTTCAAGTATTCGCCACAATTGTGGCCATTCTGCTTGTGGAACGGGCCGGCAGGAAGCTCTTGCTGCTCGTGTCGGCAATTGTGATGGGCGTCACCACTTTGGTGATGGGCGTGTACTTTCAGTGGCTTAAGGACAGTAATGTTGGCTGGCTACCCATACTGGCAATATGCTTGTTTATGGTCGGTTTCTCGCTGGGATTCGGTCCGGTGCCATGGGTGGTTATGGCCGAGCTGTTTGCGGAGGATGTGAAGCCCGTTTGCGGCGCAATTGTGGGCACCAGCAGTTGGTTGTTTGCCTTTGCTGTCACCAAATTATTTCCGCTCGTCCTAGATCAATTCGGTCCGGTAGTTACTTTTTGGGTATTTACAGTATTCTCAATTTTGGCTTGTATTTTTGTTGCTTTCTTTGTCCCGGAAACGAAGGGCAAAACTATCGATGAGATTCAAGGTATTCTTGGCGCATAATTGGCCAAAAAAAAACCAATACATGTATCCCGCTGTCTTGAAATAAATATATACAAAAGTAATCTATCTATAGCTTAAACACGAGAGTTGTATCTGGTAACTTTCTTTTTTAGTATAGTCTGGCTTACACGTACCTTACACGATCTCGAACTTGGCCTACCCCTCAAAGTATATGTATATTGATCAAGGAAAAGTGTCTCTCAGTTCTGATGCCTTTATCATAAAATATGTTTACGGTCGTCTCCAAAGAATTTTAGGTTACTTGTATGAGCAATTTTTTTGTATCTTGCCCAAGTTAATTGTAGTAATTCATATTTTTTATATATATTTTTTCTATTTACTTTTATTTAAAGTTAATTATATATTGTTAACATCGGTTGACAGTATCAATAAGGTATCATATCAATGATCATTTCCAATATGCGGCAAAATTCGGTTTTGAAGTTTCACAATTGGTTTATTCGAATTTTGAAAAAACCAATTCCTTTAGGGGTCTTTCTGAGAATAGTGTCATTGACTCTGCTGTCAAGTTATTGTTTTACTGTTCTACTCTAACCATCCGCTCGGTCAGTATTAAGTGCTCAGTTGTGAAAAGTTTGTTTGACTATAGAAGTGTCCGTGCTCTATTTGTTTTTTTGTTTTTTTAGTAAATTGTAGAAATGTGCAAATTTTAAAATATGTGAAAAAATGTGAAAATGTGAAGTCCTCTTTGCTGTTGGGCCCACTGAGAAGGAGAAGGGGAACCTGAGAAGGTCCTTGCTGCATTTTGTATGTGGTATGAATGTCGGCGCCTTTCCATTTTGTGAATAGATTCTAGATTATTGGGGGCCGACGATGCAATGGATGTTTCCAGATAGGTGCCTCTTCTAATGGAGGTCCTTACTGTCTGCGGATCCGCTTAAGATCCCTCTGCGCTTTAGCTTGCTGAGGAGAGGGTCCTTAGCATGCATACCTGACAATGAGGTCCTTACTGATTTTGGGCCCACTGAGGAGGACCCTACCGGAGCTGGATCCGCTGAGAGGGCGGAAATGAATGCAGGAAAACACGCAAAACCTTTTGGAATACTGATTGGTGCATTTTTCTATATTGACGCCCAAAAAGTATGTATGATGCTTATTGGAAAATCGTCATGGATGCCTTTCGCTGGGCATTTATTGGTAGCATTTATGCAATTGGGTATTGTGGTCTGCTATTTGCAGTTTCTGTTTGTTAATGGAATAATTTCTACATAAATATGGGTATCTTAATCAACTAGAACGGTCAGCCCGATGCGTACATAATAATTGTTGATTATGCCTTATTCAGCATTCATTTGAGGAAAGCTTGCCACAATTGTGTTTATTGAACGGTTTGTATGCAAAATGCGTATTAAATGTGCTGGAATACAGAACCTGGTCAGTAAGGGATCTTAAACATTTATATGTATACATACGTGGTCCGTTTGAAGCAGTGGATGTTTAATTTAATTTTTATTCATAAAATATTTCTTCAAATTTGTACATATTTTAAGGAGGCAATGGGGCATATACATATATTTTTTAACGTATATATATATATGCAAAGCATTTGCCACCAAGAGCTCAAATTAACATAACAGAGCATAGCATAACATAACATAACATAACATAACATAACATAACATAATAACATAACATAACATAATAACATAACATAACATAACATAACATAACATAACAGCAGCAGCTTAACAAGGCGCTAAAGTGCGAAGTCATGCATATGTGCTGTAAACCATATTTGCTTACATTACATTAACCGCGATAATAGTGAATCGATAGATTTTCTTATCGAATTTAAATGCCGTTGGAATTTAATGGATATTTTTCGCGCTATTTGTGTTTACAATTTTGAATCTAGCACTTTTGAATGAAATACTTTTGACAGTTGAAATGAAAAGCCATTCTAGCTTTATTTTAGAAACGTGAAGCCTTATAGCATATACATTTAAAATATATATATTCAAAAATCAAAATACTGTTAAGAAATGGGACACCTAAAGCAATATTTCGCCGGTTTGGTGGCAGCCTTCGGTGCCTTCTGCTTGGGCACTTCCCTTGGCTGGTCGGGTCCCGTGGGAAACTCGGTACTCTCGGGTGAAGCATTTAAGTTTGCGCCCAGCCTGGATGAATGGAGTTGGGCTGCCTCGCTCTTTACACTGGGCGCCGCGTGTGTGTGCATACCCGTTGGAATATTGACATTTCGATTTGGACGGAAATTGATAATGCTGTTGCTGATGTTGCCCTGTCTACTGGGCTGGGTCTGCATCATTGGAGCACAACGTCCGTTCATGCTATTAATTGGACGTTTTATATTGGGCGCTTCCATTGGCAGCTTCTGCCTAACGGTGCCCATATACACGACAGAGATAGCCGAGGTCGAGACACGCGGCGTAATGGGCTGTTTTTTTCAACTAATGTTTGCGCTTGGAATACTTTTTAGTTTCGTGGTTGGCAGTTTATGCAAGGTATTTTTACTTAACATACTGTGCGGCGTCTTTCCGGCCATATTTTTTTTGACATTCATGTGGATGCCCGAATCGCCGGTATTTCTGGCGCAGAAGGGCAAAACGGAGCAGGCCGAAAAGGCATTGAAATGGCTGCGTGGAAAAGATTCGGATATTGGCGCTGACTTGGCTGCAATGGAGGCCGATAGCAAAAAGGAGAAGACCAATATATTTAAATCATTGTCGCGCAAGGTCACAATCAAGGGCTTATGCATTACAATCACGCTGTTGCTGTTCCAACAATTCTCCGGCATTAATGGCATTTGCTTTTATGTGGCCACCATTTTCGAGGAGGCCGGCACTGGCATGTCACCGGCGATCTCTACCATCTTAATTGGCGTGGTCGGAGTTGTTGCATTGATACCGGCCATCCTATTTGTCGATATGGCCGGGCGCCGCATATTTCTGATTGTATCTGGCATATTAATGTTCCTCACCACCTTCATAATGGGCGCCTACTTCAAGTGGCTAATGGAGAAAAAGGTCGGCTGGCTGCCCATGGCCGCTATTTGTATATTCGTCTTTGGGCTCTCGATGGGCTTTGGCCCGGTGCCGTGGCTTATAATGGCCGAGATGTTTGCAGAGGATGTCAAGCCCATTTGTGGCGCCATCGTGGCCACCTGTAGTTGGTTATTTGCCTTTTGTGTCACCAAAGTATTTCCATTATGCTTGCAAGATCTCGGTCCGTCAACGACATTTTGGGGATTCTGTGTCATTTCGTTTTTAGCGATTATTTTTGTCATCTTCGTTGTGCCGGAGACCAAGGGCAAGAGCTTAGATGAAATCCAACAGCTGCTCAAAGGCTAAGTAGATCCAAGGTATTCAGTCGGCTATGAGGTATCTGAATTTATATATTCGACTGATCAGCTATGTGAGAGTATATGTATATATATCAAATTGACAGTACAGATATGTATCAATATACCATTACCATTAAACAACTCCTATTGCAGAACAATTTAATAAGCTTTAACAAGCTTTCTTAACCCATTTTACAGATCTTTAAATTTATTTACATTACATATTTTTTGTATATATGATTTATTTATAGGACATCTTACTCTCCTCCTGCTTCCACAAAACTAGAGAAATTTAAATCAAGAGTTACCTGCCCTGCTCCATTTGGAGAGGTATTCCTCCTTGGGATGCACACCCTCTGAAAGTTGTAATGCCGTGTAGGAATGGTCGCAGTGTACTCTTGGTATATGGCCCATTCCATTTTTGGAGTCGGGTGCAACCGACTATGCAATACACTTTTTTGATAGTGGAACTCCAGTTTGACCAGGATTAAAGAAAATAACATTCACATATTCATGTAGAGATGGATATCTCCTAGTCGGACATTCTCGACTATTGTACACATCAGCTTGGCATGGCCGTCGGGTGCTACCGACTGCGCGATACTCTAATTATGTGGTATCAACTTTTCGATTTAGATTTTTTTTTGCAATTTGTGGTGGCAGAAGTGGGCGTGGCCCAATCATTACTCTATAAACCTTTAGCTAGTGTATACTTAATTCGAGAGGTTACAATTCCACGCGAAACTTTCGCAAGCAATTCCAGATCGAGCAGCCTCATTCTATTCGGGGTTTTCGTTCATAAATTAAATATTAAATAAAATAAATATCACGACATGGGTATCCTCAAGCAATATCTGGCTGGTCTCTCGGCATCCTTTGGTGGCTTTTGCTTGGGCAGCTCGGAGGGCTGGTCGGGTCCCGTCCAGCATTCGATCCTGGCCGGCACCGCATACAAATTTACGCCCACCCTAGATGATTTCACCTGGACCGCCTCGCTGTTCCATCTGGGCGCCGCCAGCATGTGTATGCCCTCCGGAGTGCTGATAGCTGCATTTGGACGCAAATTGGTTATGCTGCTGCTGGCCGTGCCATTCTTCTTGGGATGGGCATGCATTTTATTTGCCCAACATGTGTGTATGCTGTTCATCGGACGCTTCGTTTTGGGTGCCTGCAGTGGGGCGTACAGCGTCGCCGCGCCCATTTACACAACGGAGATAGCCGAGGTGAAGAGCCGCGGCATTATGGGATTCTTTTTCCAATTGATGATCGTAAACGGAACACTCTTTAGCTTTATAGCCGGTAGCTATTGTTCAGTAGAAACCTTCAACATATTGTGCAGCGTCATGTCAATCGTTTTATTTGTGCTATTAATCTGGGTACCCGAATCGCCCGTATATCTGGTGCAGCAGCGACGGCCCGACAAGGCGCAGAGGGTCCTCCGGGGGCTGCGTGGCGCCGATGCCGATCTAAGCGCAGACATGGCCATCCTTATCGCAGATAACCAAAAGAAGAAGGTCACCTGCGGGCAGGCATTCTCGCGCAAGACCACAATCAGGGGCATCTTCATATCCGTAACGCTGATGGTGTTCCAGGAGTTCACGGGCATCTGTGCCATCACCTTCTATGTGGCCAGTGTATTCGAGGAAGCCGGCACTGGGATTCCCACAGGAATCTGCACCATTATTATTGGCGCTGTTAGCGTCATATCGACGATTCCCGCAACTATGTACATCGATCGACTTGGTCGCAAAATGCTGCTGATATTCTCTGGTGTCTTGATGGGCATCACAACCCTAGTATTGGGCTTCTATTATATGGGCATGAAGGATTTGAGTGTCGGCTGGGTGGCTGTGACATCCGTTTGCGTATACGAGGTTGGCTACTCCGTGGGCTATGGCCCGGTGCCGTGGCTGGTTATGGCCGAGCTCTTCGCGGAGGATGTGAAGCCCATTTGTGGCGCCATCGTGGCCACCTTTACTTGGTTATTTGCTTTTGCTGTCACCAAATTGTTTCCGGTATGCGTGCTAGAGTTCGGCTCGGCGATCACGTTTTGGGGATTCGCTGTCATTTCATTTGTATCGTGTATTTTTGTCATTTTCTGTGTGCCGGAGACGAAGGGCAAGAGCTTGGATGAAATCCAACAGTTGCTCAAAGGCAAATAAACGAGCAATATTTTATATGACAGTTGGATAAAGAAAGGTATATAAAATTTAGATAATATTCGGGTAGGGATCAATCAAATGAATTTGTGTGTTATCCTATTTTCTAAATGCTTTCTATTTGAGAACCATTCGAAAATATCTTTGTACATGAGACAAAATATTATTGGATTGGATCGACGAAACATTGTCCGTCTGTGCGTATCTTTTCGACAAAACTTTGTTTTTATGTGAAGTTGGGCGGAATACAATTCACGTCTTCATGTATTTCCGCCGTACATTTTTGTATAAAAATGAGTCGTTATCCTTTTTTTTTTTAATAGGTATCTTTATGCAATATTTAGTACGGTCTGCCAAGAATACTTTGCTGGAAGGACGGAACACCTGGTCGTTGAATCTTGGCGCCTCTGTCATGTGTATACGCCCTGGAGTACGATTTGTTATTTATTGGATGAACGTGAACTAGCTGGGCGAGGAACTTGGCTGTAGATTCTCCACCAGAAGAAAATTTTAATATTTACCACCATAATATTAAACTGAGAAGAAAAACAACACCGAAATCTGCTTTATAATCTGGTTGACATCCCATTGTGTATTTAATAAGGAATAATCCGAAAAGAAATCCGAAGATCCTTGTTTTTATATATTAAATAATCGTTTGCTTATTTGCATATAAATAATTTCTTTCTTACACTCCAAACTCAAGCAACATGCATGATTGTGGTGCTGCCCAACGATTTTGTCTATGGCAACTCTGTGCTACCGTTATTTTACCTAGACGATTCAATTGGCGAGGTGTCAAATCGATTTATCGATTAATTTAATTTTTAACGAAGACTACCCGTTGTTTTTTTTGCCCTTTACATATCTGTATTATCTGTTCAGGGTCAACAATGCACGAGCGATAGGTATTGAGCATGCAGAGGGCCATGGAAACGAATGTAGAATGCTGAATGATAATTTACGTGCACAGTGTCTGTAAATAAATCATTTCTGCATTTGACTAATTTGATTTACATGGTTGTGTCCATTGCTGTGCTACTCGCACGTTCAACCATTTCCATTTCCACCAGATATTGTCCCTAGCTTCGTTACATATATTTGTTTTACCCTGTAACCATTGTAAAAGCGTAAAATGAGGCATAGCCAACTGTATAAATAAGTGCATTACGTAATATCTTGCTGATCGTTAAATATCGAATGTATGTTTTAAGAATAGACTTGCGTTTGAATCTTCGAAACTTGAAGCTGATCTTAAGATGTTATAGTTATTAAGCAAGCCTGGGTATCTGCTAGTCGGGCAGCATTCGCGTAAAGAGCATTCTTTGTTAATGTTGTGGTTCCTCGTATTCGTTAGCTCGCCCGTTTGTGTTGTGTTTTCCGTTAGTATTCGCTTAATTGTAGTTACATGCGCTCATTTGCCTGTTCCGGACGCTAGCGGTAACGTCTGCGCATTTCGAAGAGTCACATGATTTAACGGAGGTAAAAAATGGGTGCACAATTTAAGTATTTTATAAGGATAAAACTACAGTTGAAAATTGATTATCCGGAATTCTAATAGGCGTTCGATTGAAGCGGTCCTCTCAAAGACAAACCTTATACTACCTTTAACATTTATAAATGTTAACATGTGACTTCTTTCAATTGGGATTGCGGATTATCCGTACTGAGCTGCGTATTGAGCAACCCGGATAATCGCGGTTCAACTGTGTGTGTTGCATGTACATACATACATGCATACATATAAATATTCACATCAAATTAGGAAACGCCCATTATTCATTGACCCATTATACCCATATTTTTTTTATATGTACATGTGTAAATACTTATTTCATAATTATCGCTTAAGCTTCTCTCAGCAGATCAGTCTATCGTGTCCACTAGTGTTCGCATTTTATGTCTGCTCTTAATCCAATTTGTCGCAATCGCACTGTCATGTGAGTACGCTATGCACATACACATACATATGCCCTTGCATGTGCATCTATCTGCATACATGTATCTGCATGTGTGTGTGTGTGTGTGTGTGCGTGTTTTGGCGCCAAATTGACAAAGACCTCGCTGGTCGACGAAACCTCAAATGAGCGCGTAAAAGCTCTGTGCTCTCAGTGAGTGAGGCCGCTCTCGAGACAACTGTGGTGAATTCGGCAGTGCTAGCAATGTGGTGAATATGCTAATTTCTAAGGACTTCAAAGTCGTACAATGCACTAAGTCAACATGTGTAAATAAATATACTTTTTATGTTGAGCTTGGTAAAATATAGTATGATATAGTTAATACTAAGAAAGCATATTTAAGCTTCAAATATATTTAGAATTTAAAAGCGAAAGAAAGCTTTAAAAGTAACGGGTGCAATAACGTTTCTTATTTGAAATTAGGCAAGGTGTCGTTTTTGTAAGCACATTCCTCTCTGCATAAAATCAAGTCAAAAAGACAAGTTTACAACGCTCGGCTACGATTTGAAATGCCTTGCAAGGAGTCGCTAACAAACCACTGCCGGAAACAACCCCCATTTGGGGGATAAATACAGACACAGCGTCAACAGACAGTCAGTAAGAGTCGCAACCGCATTCACAGTTGACGTTGCGACGCGTTTTATTTTACGCTCGCAACATATATTGGCATATTTAATTTTTGCTCAATTCGAGGCAATTCGCCATGCAATTTCATAAGTGAGCATAGAGAATGTGCTTAATTATAAATAAATCAAGAGTGTGGCACACATAAAACAAATGTGTCCCATGTAAAAATAAAAAAATACGCGAGTGGCTTCAAGTGTCGCGTGAAGCTTTCTGTGAAACCACGTGGCCGTGTGTATTAACAACCAACGGTCAAAGTGAGCAATTGTTTATGTCAATAATTATTTAAATTTTTTAATTTGTCATTAACTATATAAAGAAAGCAAAGGCAAGTCAGGTTATTTAGGAAATTAAACAGCTTGAAAAATCGAATAAGGAAATGGCCGCTGTTTTTAAGTGTTTTTGGTGGCGCCCTCTGCTGTTCGCTTTTGGCAAACAGCTGACACAAATGGCGCTTGGCCGGCCAAGCTTTGCTGTCGCTGCCTCCGCCGCCGCCTCAGCCGCTGGCCAAAAGCCTTGTAAACATTTCGCTTGTTCATTTCCCATTGATGCTCTCTCTTTATTTCTTGCTCGCTCGCACATATGCATTTGCCTCTATTTGCCTGTTCTTGACAATGAAAACCACAATAACGTTTGTTTATTGTCTGTCTGAATTTGTGTCTGTATGCGTTTGTGTGCTTGTATGTGTGTGTGTGTGTTATCATTCACCAGAACAAAAATGCTGGAAAGTAGGCTTTAAAATAAGTGCACCTGTAAAAGCAATATGCATATGTATGTACACTTGTGGTCAAAATAATGAGCACACTAACATATCTTGGAAATTTATATATAAATAATGTAAAAAATATGAGGCTAGTAGTGTGCTTATTATGTTGATTATATATATACACACACAGGTACAGTCAACGCTCCCCCATGCTTAAGGTTTTTTGTACGTTTCTGGAAAGAACACGAAAATAACCCACTTAATAAATAAAAATTAATCATATAAAGTTTGGCTATATTCATACTATTCGGCCCTAAGAAGGCGTTCTTTAGTAAAGCCTTCACTGTAAACCATTCATAATTAAGCCGTAAGGTGTGGAAGTGGGACTGTGACTGGAACTGTGACTGACCAACTGGCACAGCCTTCAGTCTTGGCACTTGGCCAAGTTTAGACGCAGCTGCGGCAGATGTCAACGTTGACAACAATTCGTGTTCAATGCAGTTTTGTAATATATGCATTTAGCCCGACACCCCCACAGCCCACACAGACACCCCCACCACAGCCTGGCCTAGCTGGCCTCTTTGTGTTTTTATACCCCGAATCTATGGAGCATGTGCAAGAATGGGTATACTGGTTTTCTGCAAGTTTATGTGACAGGCAGAAGAAGGCTTTTGTGACTTCATATAGTAAAAGCTGGAGGCTTGCAAATTTAGAACAGAGATTCTTGCATTTTTCGCGCAGATCAAGCTTGTCTCCAATCTTCGATAGCTTGCACTTTTCTCTGAAATCGATAAATATCGATATCGATAGACACCATATGTAGTAAAAGAGCTTTCCTAAAGTATACACAGATTTCGAATATTTTTCTGTTTGGGCACAACCGAGTATTTTTCTATTTTCTGCCCTAACAACAAATTAAACAAGTGGCCCACACAATGCATATGCCACGCCCACATGCTATGCCTTCTCATTTGACAGTCGGCCAACAAAAAATGAGGGCATGCTGCGGCTTGTGAGGGGTTGGGTAATTGGAGCCAGGTGACTATTTCGATGTGGAATAAACCTGTTCGGCCTTAACGCTTGTGCCCCTTGCTTCTCAGCGTTTCACGACTTCCGTAAGAAAAGAGAAACAAAAACTGAAAACAAATACAACCCAAAAACAAACAAAATTAAATGTTAATGCCGTATTTTGTATACTCTTTTAATATGGGTAATCCTAGGGCCATCGTACAGAATCTATATTTTTTTTATTTTTTTTTAACTTTTATGATAATATAAAATATGATCAATCAAATTGTTTAGTTTATATTTAAAAACGCGTTTGTAGTTAAGGCAAAGTTAGCTCCCTGCAGGTAACCCCAAGGAAAAGCGCTGGTTCAAACCGTAAATAGAATACTAATGTATTAAGAAATTAGGGGAAATAGAATTGAGATCCAAATATTTTCTTCTTATAGACATTTAAACCTCCAAAATTGACTGGGTTTTATGCTTTACCAAGACTTTTTCATATTCTTGCACATTTATAAATTAAATTTTGTGTTTGTATTTCCTTGGGCTTCGGCACGTGCTTTTGTTTCGATAACGTTTATGTGTATTATTGGTCTTACCCGCCGCGGCAGGGCGGAAGCGGGAAGGTTGGCATGCGGCAGGCAATTTATTTAAACGCCATACAAACAATATTGAAACAATTTTTATTTCGGGCTGTTAGCAACACGCAATGCGGTTAATATTTAACGGCAGAGCCAAGTTTTCGGGGGTTGTAGCCAAGCTCTTGATACAGGATTCCATTTGTATAATGCAGTTCCTTGAGGCGTGGAAGTAAAGTGGAAGTCGCGGTCCAAGGGTAAAAGGAACAGACTGCCAAAATGGAGTGGGATTGGGCTGTGGGCGGCATTACGGATGAGATACCACGCACTACGGGACCCGAGTGCATCAACTACATGACCGATCGACGCCGATGGACCGAAACGGCGCTGCTCTCCGCTTTGTTCATCTATATCATGCACGGAAACTGGAAGCGCTTGGCGCCCATACGATTGCCGCCGGCACATGAGATACAGAAATCGCACAGTCCGATGCGGCTATTCCTGCTCATCAGCATGTCCTTTGTCTTTGGCATTGAGATGGGCTTCAAGCTGGCCGGAGGTTCGATGATATTCGCACTGAATCCTTGCCATGTGCAAACGTGTCTGCAGGTAAGATCTGCCTCATGTCTGCGAGGGCATTAACTAATGGCACTTTGTTTTTATCCAGATCTATTTGCTGGCTGCTAAGCCCACAAAGACAACAACGGCCCTGTTTCGCATACAGATGAGCAATTTGAATGGACCATTTCTGGCCTTTGTGTTTCCC